GTTATTTTGAGTATTAAACAGAAGTATTCTGTTTTATTTTTAACTTAGTCCTCTCATGCGTTATCAATGTCTTAGTTATGTTAATAAACAAAACACTGAACGACGAAAGGCTTTTATTCAACAAGAATCAATGTGTATCGCAAATATAATATTAAATAATTCAACAACAACAAACGTCTCAATGTGTCAGTAATTCGATTCTTGATAGTTCTTTTTTTTTTCACTGTTTTTATCTTTTTTTCTTTTTGTTCAAGCACCCAATGATCAATGTTTATCAATGAATGATACACCAAAATATAAACGTCAACGAATTAATTATGAATATACAGAAAAGGAAAATTTTAGTTTCTTTGATCAACCTCAATACGTAGCACAGGTTCCGTTTGAAGCAAATTTTAATAACAAATTCTTATCATCTGTAACACAAGAACTTGGTCATATTGATGAACTTTTTAATTGGCTTGATGAAGAAAATAACAAATCAAAGAATAAATTTCCAGTATTTGATACTGTTAATGATGTATTTAGTATGGATAACATACAAGATTTTGGCCTTTTTACACCAATAATATCTGAAATAAACTTCTTTTAAAAAAAAAACATTTTCTTTTTATTTTATTTGTTTGTGCAGTTCGTTGATCGGCTGTCTGCTTATGTGTGTTTCATATTTGTGCGTTAGCTATCAGAATGATGTTGTTAATGATAATGATTAATATGATGTAAGAGCTGGTTCTCATTACATATTATAAACATTATTATTATCTTCATTTCATATGCTTTTTCTGTCTTATCTTTTCTTTTCTGTCCAGCGCATGTTTAATTGATGAAAACATTTTAAAAATTCCTATATTAATATTAAAATGCTTCTGGTATTTAAATTATTTATCATTACATATTGATTCTCATAGATTATGAAAAATTCCTGTTTATAGAATAGAGAACTTTAGAAAAATAAGATTATGAACGTTCTGGGATAAAAATCTATTTTCATCTTTGTTCTCTTTTTTCCTAAATTGTACTATTTGACTCTAATAAATTATGTCATAGAAGACGTACATGGTTTTCTGAAAACTAGTTTTTCCTTGCATTTAATTATTTTATTTTAATCTGTTTTTATAAAACTAAGTTGTTAATCACGCTTTGTCTTATTTCTTTCTGTTAAATGACACGCGCAATTCTAACGGTCATGTTCTTGTCAAAATATGTTAAGCACGTACTTGAGTTGACTAGTCATTGTTTTTTTTTGTAAATTGAAGAAGACACGTAATATATCTTTTACAGCTGAATGATAATCGATCATTGACAAGTAAAAATTGCGAATGATGAATTAATTTGCACTTTCTATATCAGAACTCGAAAGAGATTATTGACCCGTCCTACTTGAGACAAACACATCAGCTCAAAACTTTACATAGACTACCTGTTTATAGTCCTTTTTGCTTTAAATTTTCTAGAACAATACAATTCATTTTTAGACTAAAAAATATTGTTATCAACAGTTACAATTGAGTGTGTTTAATGTTGGAAGAAAAGAAATGATTTTCTTAAATTATTTTTGTTATACATCGTCATCACTAATAATATATAATGAAGAGATTATTCATGATTTATTCTTCTTATTTAGTGTTTTTTTTTTCGTATTTTGATAACTGTAAGCAATTTGTACTCATTTTTTATTGTCATTTTATTGAACTGCTTTAGTAGTTCTCGTTGTTTCTTGATTCATACTTAGGTCGTTATACTAATTTAGGATATTAATATGTTCTTTTCAACCATCTTGTTAAATCTACTAAAGACGCTCTTAGCAAAAACCTTAATCTCTTTTCTCAAATATAAATAGTTTAACAAATAATTAGATGTTACATATAATTGCTTCATTTGCATTGACATAGTTCCTTTGTTTGCTTTTCAAAATAAACTTCTACTTTCATACAATAATCATCTTAATGTCGAAATTGAACAAGTCTCTGGGTGTTTCTTTTTATGACGTGAACAAACAAGAGTAAAAACGAAGATCTGTTAGTAAATTAAAGGTCTTTTGTTCATATGCGTGTACTTTCACTTTCACGCTCTACCGAAAACTTGATAAGAGTAATTGGTTTGTAAAATTTTAATCCTTTCCATCATGCAATTTGCAACGCATGGTGTTTAACAAATGGATCAAAATGTTGTACTCGTTTTTCTTTCGTGGTAGTTCCCAATACAATTATTAAAGCACATTCGGCAGAGGACTCTCAGCGCCATAAAACTATTGATATTGTTTTCAGAATTTTCTTTTTCTTATCAACGTAAAATTCAAAAGATCAACATCTACTTATGTATTCAATTGCAACGACCAAAGAAAAGAATAAAATAGATGAAAAGCTGTTGATAATGGTTCTGCTGATGTTTCACATATTCTAGAATGTTCTCTATAAAATTTTTCATATTTTAATCAAATGTTTCAGAATTTAAGAGAAAAATTAAAAGTGAAAAATATGAAACTACTGGAAAAAAAATCCTTTTGTGGCAAACCTGTGCAATGGGAGTTTTTTAATTCAGACAACCTGGAACTTTTCATTATTCATTTTTACAATCACACTATTTTATTTATTATTAAATTTCATGTCTGACGACATGGAAATTAATTTGTCATAGGCATAAGTCATCTCGTGAAGCAAATTATATTTAAAAAAACATTTGATTTTGTACTGGAATAATAATGCCAGTAACCTCGAAAAGATTGTAGTAGAAAAGATGACATGATGTCTTGAACTTTGGATATTAAATACTTTATTTGTAGCATCGGAAGTGAGGATGATATAGTTTATGCTAATAAGAAAAGCAGCAAAGTCAACTGGATATGCTCTATCGAATGACCTCTATATTAAGTGTTTAGTTTATTAGTAAGTGTCCAAAAAAGAGAGAAACATTTTGACTCGTTTATAATGTGCCGCTCATTATTCACTTTTTCTTATATTTATAATTTTGTTTATTTTCTTTATTAAAAATGAAATTTTGCTTTTTCGAAATTTCCAATTTGAATAAATGGTTGTTACTTGGAAGAATGTGTTCAAATCAAATCTTCATCTAACTTTGAAAGTTATCACCATCTAAAATTCTTACATGGTGAACTCTTGTTGAACCGCATAGTTACTGAAAGCTCTTTTCTTAATGCATATCGCTGGATCAGCGCATAGTCTTTTATTTTAAACTAAATCAGTTCGAAGTATGAGCGTTTTTAAACCGAATATCTTATGTCTCGATTATGAAAAAGATTATTGGGCATTGAAAATATTTCTTTTTCACTAAATGCATAATAAAGTTTAATGTTTTTGCTTTTTTATTTTTATATAAAATGTCTAATAATGCAATTCTTGCATTGAATCATTATGGTTTTCTCGAAATATGGTCAATGATGTTTCTATTTCATTTTTGAATTGCACACTGAGCATACGTGAAACTTCAACCTGATCTTCATCAGATTGAGAATTGATGAAAATAACAGTTTCTGAATATTTGCCGATAAATTAACATTGTATTTTTTTGTTTTATTCAAAGTTTGATTTCAGTCATGATAAGTTTCAACAATATATTGTTATACATTAACTTTAGTATTTTGTTAGTCGAACTCTGTTTCGCATAGTAAAGAATGTTTGTTAATTTCAGACAATTTTCATCAAATAATTTATCAATTTTTTAAAAATTCTCGTTTCGTTATTTCGAAAGATGCCAATGTGAACTCATCATTACAAATTTCCCACTATATTAATACATCGAATTAATTCTATACCATTGTAAGGAGTCAACGATTGTATTTGATAATAATAAATATTGTATTGATTTCTGTTATTCTTAAAGCTTGTTGTAACAAATAACCATGTTTGTACACATAAGAAAAGCTATGTTTAATTCCTAGTAAGGTACGGGAAAAAGTTCGCGACATTTTCTTATCGATATTAATAGAAAAATTGCTAAGAACTTTTTTTCATATAATATACTAAAAGATGCAGCGTGAAAAGCTCTACAATTTGCATAAGACCGCTTTTTTTTTACAGTTGCCCTTTTTCTTTTCAAAATCGTCAAAACTTCAAGCAATCAAATTTCGACCGTGTGAAAGCGATATTTTTTTCGGCACAAGATGAACTTATTCATCTTTTGATCACTTCATATCCTTTATGTAAAAAAAAAACAAAATACATCACAAGATGCATCGTGAAAAGCTCTATAATTTACATATGACCACTTTTTTACAGCAGTACTTTTCGTTTTCAAAATCAACGAAAATTCTGAGCCACCAGATTTCGATGCTGCGAAAAAGTCTTTGTTCAATACACGGCCAATGCGTTTTTTTCCTCGTTACCTCCTGAAATCTTTTATTTAAAAAAAAACAAAATATACCAAAAGATGCAGCGTAAAATGCTCCACAATCCACGAAGGAAAGCTTGTTTTAGCTGTCTACTTTTTGTATACAAAAAAAACAAAAATTCTGTGCGATCAATTTTCGACGCTACGAAAAGATAACATGAAAAGACATTTCTTTTTTTCTAATTTCATCATTTTATCTCCTAATATGTTTTCGTAAAAAAAACAAAATATACCACAAGATGCAGCGTAGAAAGCTCTACAATATATACAGGTAATGAAAAGATAAAATAAGAAAAAAGATAATTTCTCGTTCGTGTTATCTTTTCGCAGCGTCGAAATTTGGTCGTTCGAAGTTTTGACGATTTTGAAAACAAAAAGTGCAACTGTAAAAAAAGCGGTCTTATACAAATTGTAGAGCTTTTCACGCTGCATCTTTTAGTATATTATATGAAAAAAAAGTTCTTAGAAATTTTTCTATTAATATCGATAAGAAAATGTCGCGAACTTTTTCCTCATACCTTATATCGATCAGCGGGGTCTACGAAAGATGCGCACGGATAGTTTGCGCACGAAATAAAAAATTCATATTTATACGCCAAAAGATAATACAGAGATCGAGAAGTAGCAAGAACAACAATAGTTTTATTTTATTTTCAAAATCGTAAAAAATTTTTCAGAAGCATTTGTGATAATACAGTATCTGTTGTTTCTTGAATATTTTTTACATGATTAGTGACGTCTTCACGAAATTTTCTCGGTGTAATTTTTATTATATCTCGATTACAACTTGTTGAATGAGTACCATTTTGTTTTAATGTCATGACATGAGTTTTAGTAATAGTAGAATTACATGTATGTATTCTATAATGACAATTATAAGTTTTATGATTTTCACAACGCCAACAGGTTTTTGTGCAGGTTCGACAATCTTACGTGTATAAATAACCATCTAACATCATTAAGGGATGACCTTTTGTAGTAGTGGCGAATTCGACAGGAGTACACATGTTTGAGGATAACTGATAATGAACCATTTCGAATGTGAATTATCGTTTTTTATATGCGTCACACGTTTGTTCTTAAAATAAGCTCACCTTAATGAGGTTAAACAATTAAGAAGACTATGTCTATTAATTACAGTTTATGCTATAGTGGATAATATGACTCCTTATTTGTAAGTACGAATTTTTTATTTCGTGCACAAACTATCCGTGCGCATCTTCCGGGATCCCAGATCAACGAGAACATATTTTGAGTACTCTATGCATTCTTTGGAAACAGATTTTGCATCATACTTCTATTGTCCTACGTTGGTTCAATGGTTTGTTCTACGGAAAACATTAAACAGCTTAGCTATTTCAGCATTCATTCTTCTCATTATAATTGTAGATGGTGAATATGATAAAACTTTCGGTACATTTCTCCATTTTTATCAGATCTTTAATCATCTTCTTGATTGTTGTTGCCTTAAACAACAATTTTGCTTTATTTCAATATTTTACGTGATCATAATTTGAAATGATGTTAGGACAATTCATTGCATGACATGTTAGTCTTACATTTTCTTGAAGAAGTATCAAAAGTGAGTGGCTATCAGAACACCCACACCTCAGATGACTCGAATGGTGTATATAATCATTTCAAAAGAAGGGTATAATATAGTGAATATGATTGAAAAAAACGCGTTTACCAGTTAGACAAATCCTGTTATCATCTTTTTTTGTGCAAGAAACGATCTGTAAGATTCATTTATTCTTGAAAAAAACAAGTTGACTATAATTCTATTTTGCTGCCAATTGTATTTAGAAGGTAACAGAAAAATTTTCCATTAAAACAAATGCTAATTATTCAAATTAACTGGTGCAATTTTTTTATATGTCTGTATTATGGTTTGTTTCTCGTACATTTGATCACTTCTAATTGATAGCATACAATTCTAAACACTTTCAATCACCAAAGTATGTATTAGTTTCTTAGTTATCTTATAGCTAATTTGTTTTGTATCATTTTCAAATACAACAACTAAAATTTTGCTATAATGACTAATACTATACATAAATAGAAGAAAATACAGAAATATCCTGATTTATTCTTTTAATGGCACGTCATGACAGGAAGTAAATATGAAAAACAATGAACTTGTTGAGTTTTATCATTATTATTTGAACATATTGTGGACACAATTAATAAAAAAAAAAAGAACAATATAAAAGTATTTGATAATAAAACGATACGAAGACAAAAGTATATACCAAACAGAGATGAACACATGACAACATTTCATATTCTGTTCTGTTATCTTACTCCGTTCTGGCAATTGGCAGAATACTAGAACCATCCTGTGTTGTGTTCAGCTCTGACTCACATCTATATTTGAGCCTGTCGGGTTCAAAATTTTTGGACTCGGATCCGGTTAACGGTAAAAGTTAAGACTTGAACACGATCGGTTCTAACTTACGTCCATGCATTCGTAACGAATTGTCTAGTCACCATTTGCAATATATGCTTTGATATAAGAGAAGACAAGGAAGAAAAGGATGGATGATGATGAAAAAGATCTTCTCTCTCACAACTACCCATCCTCAAACCTTCGAATACATTATTACCTTGAATATCAACGAATGTAACTTTTAGTATTTTGACGATAAGTTTTTCGCTATCTTTTTTAATTTTTTCTTGTTTTTTAGAAATAATAATTATCTTCTTATTTTCTCTGCTTACAATTTTTTTTAACACTTTGAAATATGTCTTTATGCCATCGATTATATATTGTCATAGATGCTTTATTAAGAATGAAAAAAACTAACTAGCTTTCTTCATCTTGTGTTATAGTATTAATCAAAGAAACAATTCAATTCGAGTAATATTTACTTAAGAATGAGAAAAAAAAATTGAAGAAACAATTAAAAAAAAGCACAACAAAAATGAAGAGTTCATTAATTAAAGAGAAACAAGATAAAGATTATGTATAAATACGACAAATCTCTTTTTTGCTTTGCAAATATATTTTTCTTTCTTGAGAATTAAACAGTGACAAATATCGCTATTAAAAAAAAAAAAGGAGAATAAGAAGAACTCCGTTTATGTACAATACACAAAGAAATAGTAAATTGCATAAATATTAAGGAAAGAAAAAGAAGATAAGTTCGTATAGTTGTTGATCATCAATTTATTTTTAAACAAAATCACTTTTAATGATAGGATTTTCCATTAGTCCGTACCACAATCTGTTAAAAAAATCAAATTAAATAAGTTAACAAACAAAATTCATATACATATGTTATTTATTTATTTCCAATAGCCAATTACGAAAGCATTGTATGAGCAGAAGTACTATCCCGTTCAAATGAATGCATTCTAATATGCATATTAAGCTTATTATTAATACAAAACTAATAAATATAATTTATTTATTTTTTACCCTGTAGTCGATGGTAATTTTCGTGATTGTTGTTGTTGTTGAATAATATCATCATCTGTTTGATCTTCTTCTGGTCTAAATAGAAATAGAAATCAATTATAGATGTTGTTTTTTTCTTCGAAAATTTCATACTTAGCAAGATAATTTGGTGTTTGATATTGAGATAATGTTGTTTGCATAAGTTCAGAATCATTTATATCACCAGTATAGAGTGTTCGAGATTGAAGTAATTCAGTTGGACTCATCGATTTGACTTTTTGTTCTAAATTTAATTTAAAAAAGAAACTTTTTAAATTAAGTATTGAGAGATCAATTCAGAAACTCTATAAAGTCGAAATTTTTTTTTTGGAGAGATTTTTCGTCTTTCCATTCATAACCTATGATGCGAGAGTTTTAGCACAAAACATTTGCTCATTTTTCGCTAACTAAAAGACAACTACTTAAACTTAAAATTAGAGTTCTTCACTATTTCGGAATATATGTTTAGTCTTTCCTATTGGAGTAAGATTGAACAACTATCCGGAAAGGTGATTTTACGATTTTGACTACAGAACAGGATTTATGTAGACTTGTAGAGAAAGACTTCTTCTATCTAGTTGCGTATGCATTATCAAATTGTATTGCGTACAGTTTACATGTCGATAAATGATGCCACCTTCCAACAGGTGAACAGTACATAGTAAAACTTGGATAATACATAAAGAGAAAGTCTAGTTCTAGAAGCCTACTTATATTATATTGTATAGTCAAAAATCATAGAAAAACTGATGGTTTCCTTTTGTGGAAAAAAATCAAAATTGTGTTTGTGTTAGAGATGTGTGAGATCAAGTTTCGTTCTAGAGAAAGCTATTCGAGAATTTATTCGTGCCACATTTACAAAGCTCTTTAATAGTCAGTCTTTTTAATTGATATGATTTATAAGACAAATCACTTAAACTCATAGAATATTTAATTATAATCTTTAGTACCAGTTGAAATAACTTTTTCCCTTCATTTCGTTGGTCAAGATAGGAAGCGAAAACTGATCGTGCACATACTTAGTATCTGCAAAGCAAAATAGAAGTTTTGATATAATCTTTAGTTTATGTCTTGAAACAACTTCTAATCAAGATTATTATAACGTACTGAATTCTATACCAAATGAGATCGTATCTAATAGTTTTTAATTTACCTTCTTCTTGTTTCATTTGTAATAATTCATGTTCATTAATATATTTAAATTGTCGAGCTAAAAGAAAATATCTAATTAAAGAAAAAAAAACAAAAAATCTTTATTTCTATAAATACGTTTCGGTTTAGGTCCAGAATCTTTGAAACCACTTTCAAAAAATTTTTTCTTATCGTTAAATGATCGTTCTGATTCTGTTACCGAGAAATCAGACTAAATAAAAAACACGAAACATATTTCAAAAATAAAAATTTTTCCAAAACCAAATTATTTACTTCATCAATTTCAAAACCATTTTGGGATTGCACATTTCTTTGTTTATGATTATCACCATTGATCGGCACAAATTGTGTATTTGGTGTTCGATATTTTGGTTTAATAGGAACAGGTGGTGGTTGAGGTGATAGTTGTTGTTGTTTAGTATTTGTATTTCCATAAACAGGATTTGTTACTTTTGGTGAATGTGAAGTATGATGAGATGACGATATACCATTATGTCTTATTGGTGGTATTGGTGAATTAGATTGTTGTGTTAATGATGATCGACTAGTATCGATTTGTTTTGATGATTTCGTTGGACTAATTAAAGTATTTGTCTAAATTTAAAAAAGCAAAAATAAATTTTCTTCATTACAAATATAAATCAATTCAAAGATTTTTTTTACTTCTTTAGGTTTAAATCCATGACAAATTAATAAATTAATTGTGTCAGTTGGTACGCTAAGCCATTTTTGAGCATCATCTAATCGAGCACCAAATAAACTTTGATTATTAACCTAAATTAAATAGATATATAAGACTAAAAGAAAACAATAATAAATTCCAGTGTTTTGTCTAGATTTTCTCTAACGAAAGGGCGATTTAAAACTCCGCAAGGGCAAACATCTATATTTGGGAATACAGACGCGCATTTACATATTGCAATATTTATAAACTCTATGAGAGTCAATCTGCTTTTTGTAGAGGTAGTCTCCTACACTAGATAGAACATTGATAAGTTTTCTTTTATCTTTTTGCCTCATTCGTTGTACTAGAATATTTTATTATTCTATTAAAATTTATCTGATGATATATAATAGAATTACGGGCTTCAGATATAGTCATATACAGTGGATTATAATAAATAAAAACTAAAAAGTCTCATCATAATTTCATAGAGAACAGCTCGAACAAAAATCTGATCAAGTCCTGGTGCTTGTTCAGGTATATTTCTAATAGCTGGAACTTCTTCTTCATTATTTTGTAAACCAGAAGATGTTTCTTGTGCAACATGTTGTAATGATGATGCTAATGCATCAAGTATTTCATCTCGTTGATTATTATTATTATTATTTTTATTATCATCAACTGTTGAATGAATAGTATAAATAATTTCATTAAATTCATTTAAATTTAATTGTTTTGTTTCATCTATTGAAGCATATTCTTCAGATGATAGAATTGATAAATCACATTCTTCATTTATTGAACTAGTTGAGGATAAATACATTTCCTTAGCATATGAAAAATTTAATGAATGATCAGAAATTTCTTCTAAACTATTGTTATTATTATCATCAAAATCATTTTTAATTGATGATAGACTTTCACTGGAACAATAAGGGCAATCATCTTTTTCAAGAATATCTTCTTTCAGAGAATCTTCACTATAATCTAAACTTGAGTTAAGATGATAACTTGATGATGATGTATTCGATTCAATCATTGATGATTTAGGTGTTGAAATGGGCGATGAAGAATCAAATAATAGAGATAAAGATTTACATGATGGTTGACGTTCTATTGTTACTTGTGTTGCAATAGTTGAAGGTTCTTCTGATAAAAGTATTGATTTGCTATTGTTTGTTGTGATTTGTGTTGAAATAGTTGGGAATTCTTCTGGTAAAGGTATTGATTCAATATTGTTTGTTGTTACTTGTGTTGAAGTAATTGAAGATTCTTCTAGTGGAGGTATTGGTTTAATATCGTTTGATGAAAATAAAGATGTTTCTGGAAGTGATGTTGAAATCAAATCTTTAGATGTAATAATTGGTAAAGAAATTTGTTGTGTGATTGTTAATTCTTTTTTGTCTTTCTTTTTTTTCTTTTTCTTACGAAATAATTTTGATAAACCACATGATTTTGTTACATTTTTGTTTCGATGTTGATGATGATTTTTTTTTCTTTTATATTCATTTAATTGGGAAGATTTTTGTTTTTTAGATGATTTATTAAATGAAGATGTTTCATTTAAATGTGTAATATCATCAAGATTTGTTTCCCAATAATCTCTTCTTGTATCATCAATTGGTATTGTTAATAATGATGGATTACTATTTGCCGATATTGATTTCTGTGAAGTACAAAGCCATCGTTTATCAAAAATGTTATTGAATGCCTAGAATAATCGATTTTTCTAGACGAAATATGTCGAAATTTTTCGTTTAAGCAATTACTAGGCGAAGATACATAAAGCAAATAGCATTTTGATAGACAAATAAATAATTCGTATGAAATCAAATCAAATAATAATCATCTTGAGGTGTAAATAATCAACATCGCCCGGTTTAATTTTTTTTTGTTTTTTTTTAATAGTATTTGGTGACAATTATTCACCATAAAGAATATAAATTAATATTTAATCATATAAATACATATAAATATAATCAACGAATGAGGCAAAAAAACACGTGTCAATCAATGCGGTGATAAATGAGAAGAAAAAAACTCATATTGGTCTTACCTCAAGAATTCGTGTACCAACAGTGAGAATACCCGATGCTGGACTACCATCTTTTACCTTTAAATCATAAAAATATTTGTTTACAAAAAAAACGATAAAACTGGGAAACATACTTCAGTAACAAATATTCCATCATCTTCTGGATCATCTGGATTAACACGTTTTCCTTCAACACCACCGTTTATTCGAATACCAAGTGGTTCACCTGTTTGTCTTGCTAATGTTACTTCCTAAATAATCATGAAATATAATGGAAAATTTTATTTTTTTGGATTTACTTTTAATCCTAATGGTTGTGGATCATGATGTACAAGTAAAACAACTTCACTAGTTGGTTGTAAAAGTGCTTCTACAGCTTCTAAATGTGTTGCTTGTGATACATCACGATTATTTACTTTTAATATTCGATCACCAATACGAAGATTTGTGCGAGAAGCTGAACCATTTGGAAGAATCTATTCAACGAGATATTTATTTTCTTTTTAAATCTCGAAAAAAGATAGAAGAACTTTTCAAGTAGCATAAACTCATGTTTTTTACTGACGAGGGAACCTCCCCAGATGTTTCCTTCCGGTTTCAATGATTTTTTTTACCTATAGATACTACATAGTCTTCTAACAAAACATCCCAAAAGGATTTGGATTTCTATTGAAATTTGACTAAGCGATCGAATTTTTTTCTAGGAGAATCCCAGACTTTTCGGAAAATTTGTATTTTTGAATTCTTATATGAAACTTTGTTCATATAGAGATCTCAATTAGTCTAGTTCTCATACAAAAATTCAAAAGCTTCGAACAAAGTCTCTTCAAGATATAGACCTTTTCCATGATCAATGCATATAACATGAATTATTTGAAAGCTTCATACCTCAAAGAAACTATTTAAAACTTGTGAATTTTTGTATGGAAGCTAGTCTAGTTGAGTGCTCTATATGTGCAAAGTTTTAGATCAAAATTCGTAAATGCGAATTTTTCGAATATTCGAGGCCTCTAGAAAAATTTTGATAGCTTTGTTCAATCTCAATAGGAATTCAAATCTTTATAGGACTTTTATTAGATCACTATGTAGTATCTATAGGCAAATAAAATCATTGAAATTTGAAGGAAGAATCAGAAGAGTTTTCCTTGTAAGTCAAGTGAAGTTCGTTGCTTGAGCTTATGTTCCGTGCACAAAGAGGTCTTGGTTATATTAGAAAAAATCTGAAAAGGTTTGTTGTCATTAGCATTTGAAGCCGAGTTATCGCTGTTTTACTAAATTTTTTATCCATTTCTAGGTGTTTATTGGAAAATCAAATAATAAAATGTTGATCCGAAATTTCGTCCATAAATAGGTTTACAGATATCAATGATTGCAACACCTGGATCCGTAAATTTTCGGCAGGTTCTCACGGGAAAGACGCCATTTTTACTTGTTCAATATTGTATTATCTTACTTTGGAAACAAATACACCACGTTGTTTCATTCCAAATGGCGGACATGCTTGATCAATTCCACCAACAATACTTAACCCCATTGGACCATTACCTTTAGCAACATGTGCTTCCTTAATATTTCATTGAAAAATTTTACAAATAAATTATTATAAATTCAAACCAACCTCAATTGTATTATCAATACTTGTTGTTATTATATTTTGATTTCCATTAGTGTATTTTTCTCGATAGAGAACTAATTCAATATTATTTCCACCATTATTAATAATATCAATAGCTTGATCATGAGTTATATTTCCTGTATCACGACCATTTATAGATAAAAGACGATCACCAACAGCTAATGATGAACTTTTATCTTGATTATTTATTTTTGATATATATAAATTTTCATTTGCTTTTATTGTTGATGTTTGAGTTCCACCAGCAATTGAAAAACCAAAATGTCCACCTTGTTTTTCATCACGTTGAATAATTGTAGAAAACTTTTCACCTTCCTTTATAAAATTATTTTCATTATAATCATCTGATGATTGCAAAATTTCACGTATAACAACCATTTCAATATTATCACCGGCTTTTTTTAAAGCAGATACAGCTTCACTATGTTCACAATTTATTAATGAAATTCCATTAACAGATAAAAGTTTATCACCAACAAGTAAACCAGCTTGACCTGCTGGTCCTTCTTCATTAATTTTTGTTAAAAATATTCCCTAAAAGAAAATCAAACAAAACTATTAAAAGAAAAATAATGCTTGTGCTTTCTTTTACATAATCATTATCTTTAAAAGGAGTTGAACCAATACCACCAGCAATACTTATGCCAAGACCAGTATTTGGTGAACGACGAATAATAAGTGTTAATTGTTCTTGATGAATTGTCATTGGACGAGTATTTGTTTGAATAGATGATGATCTCGACTAAAAGTAAAGGTTAATTATTAACTTTTTAGTTTCATGACAATGAAATCAATAGAAAAATCGTATTAGAGATGTTCAGAGTAAGTATTTTTCGTATTCTTACTCTACTTTGCGGAACAGGGAGCTACGAATAGATATTTTTTGTCGACCCGGAACTGAGAAAACATAAACTTCTTGACTTGGGCTTGGTAAAAAAAATAACTTTGAACTCGAACTTCTTCCCATCAATAATATCCGGCACTCTCTGTATACACGAACAAGCGAAGGATCAAAGTTTGAGCTATTTATTGACTATCCTCAGAGAAAAAGTCAATCTACAGTTATTTCTTATTGTTTACTTTTTTCTCGCTCAATGCTTAATAAATTAAAAGTTTTCGTCTAGTTAGAAAGAGCAATATATTAACAAAAAAGGAATTTGAAGAGTTAATTGCTAAGAAAAATTCATCATTGAAAATCGTCAAACCAATAGTAACATAAGAATCTGCGACTGATATAAAATAGTTTCATTCGTATTCATGTAAATGAGATGGAGCAAGAATGTGTTCTATACAATCAATGTAGGAAGTTATGGATCTATGTTTTTGTGGATCGGAACCCAAATCTGAAAGGACTTGCAGCTTCCTACTGCAGGATAAGATAACCGAGCAAATCTCTAATTCATATCATATACTGTTTGAATATGATTATGGCAAACTACAATGTTAAACTAGCTAAAGGTATATTCTTCAAATCCATAGTTTTACTTTCACATTAATGAAGTTTTTCATTTTGAATAAAACTTTTAAATGCAATTTTTAAGATTTATGATAGCACTTAGTAACTTATGAGTTTATAAATAATCCTTTGTTTTTTTTTCTATCGTTTCTAGACATACCTCTTTTCCTGGACTTGTTAGCGATGATTTGGTCGAGCTATGTGACATAATTTGCTAGAAAAAATTGAAAATAATAAACGAATAATAAGGAAAAATATAATTCTTACATCAAATGCAATTGAATCATTATTTTTATTAATAATACGTTTATTTTTCAAATGATGTGGTGTATCACGTCGATGAAGTTTTTGTTGATGTTGATGATCTCTCGTATTTTCTTCATCATTATTTAAATCATCTGTAAATTCAACATGTTTTTCAATATAATGTACGTGTTCACCGGCATTTTCTTCGCGCTCATCCTTGATTAAAAGACAAAGAAATTTAACAAAAAAATACATATAAAGTGTCAGTAATTCAAAAACGATATTAAAAAAAGTTAATTACGTGCGAGAGTTAATTCAGCGTAAAAACTAAACGAAGGGTATTAGGGAACAAAATTTAGGTGAGTTTTTTTTTTTTGTTCCATTTACTCAGTATGAAGCAAGGAAAAGAGTAATACATCCCGTTAGTTTTCTACCTGAGTTTTGTTGAGAAAATCTTTTATTTTCATACCACTGACGGACTATTTACGAAATTTGGTCGTATTTCGAGATTGTTGGTTTTCATATAAAATAAATACAATATTCAGGATCAGCATAAAGTACTACATCGAACAGCTTATATTTTATTAAAAAACTATTTTCCATCGAAATTTGATCTGTGCCTCCCTTCGCTGTCTTTCAATTAATTTTAGTCTATGGCCCGCTACGAGTCAAATTTCGTTGGATTCTTTTTTTTTTTTGATAAAATATAAACCACACAATGCAATAGTTTACGCCGAGCCCAAAAATCGTATTTGTTGTGTATGAAAATAGAACACCTTGAACTACGACTACATTTCGTGACTATTCAACGAGTAGTATGAAAGAAGAAAGTTTTTTTCAACAAAAGTCATGTGTTGAACTAAAATGATACGTAACTCTTTTCCTGGCTTCATATTGAGTGCAAGAAAGAAAAAGATATCTCGTGAATCTTCAAGCTAGCGAGACTTAATGTTTTAATTGCTCATACGCTTTTCCGAGTTGTTGAGTAGAGTTAACTAAAATACTCAGTACATTTCTCTCTGCGCATCTTCTATTGTAGATAACTAACATTTTTAATAGTTCAGTGGAATACATTGCTCGTGTAAAAAACGACGTTCTATTTGCAATTTTTCAAAGAAAACCAGTTATTTTCTCTTGAAGAGAAACTAAATCAAATCATATTTTGAAGACTAATTTATATGAAAAAGACGAACATTAAAAGTATGCCTTAATCATCAGCACATCTATTTAAAAGATCCTGCAGAATATTGTGCGCGAAATCCAACTCAATATCTTTACAGCAACTTCAAGTGTCTTTTTACTGAGCTATTTTCAAGCAAGTAGATTAGCAGGTATCTTATGAATAATATTTACAACACTTTCATAGAATACCATGAGTGATGCATTATTAATTTTGTAAAGTGAAGCAACAAAGTTTTAAATAGATTCATTGTATTTCCTTCCTTCAATAACGAAAGTTCAAGAAATAGTAACAAAAGAAAAAGTGCTTACAATTGATAACGAATATATTAAAACTTCCAACTGAGAATAAATTTTTCTGAACACAAAACTGATGAATGATTTCTTTGTAGCTTTGGGAGACTCTCTCCCTTAACTCCTCCATCTCCTAAGCAGAACCAAACGAAAACTATGTAAATACTGACAACAAGTCATTAACATAGAGCCCACTGGACTGTAGATTACACCGAAATCAGCGTTTGCTGCAATATTAAGACAGTAACACAATCAAAAAATGCTCTTGTCCATAGCAATGTGCATTAACTACACTAAGTCGAAGATCAATAGACTGAAACTGAATATCTCTATTCATTATAGTTTGTCGAACTGTATATAATAATATCCCAATTGAATTTTTTTGTTCGTATTTTGAAATAACTAAGACGTTAAATTTATATGACATACATCTGAATCATGATTATCAGTTGATATTTCAGGTGGAACATAAGCAATTGATTCTTGTATCATATTTGAATCTTAAATAAATAGCGGAAAAATTCATTTTGTTCTTTTTTTTTTTTACTTTGTAGATAAAATTTACCTGTAATAATTTTATTTTGTTGATTTGTTGATGAAATTGATTGACCTGATGATATAGAAACTTGTGTTGAATCTTTTTGTCCATGTTTATGAGCATTTGGTTGATATGGATGATGATCATGATGAAGTAAATTTCCATCTGTAGCATGAAATTTTTTAGCAATTTTATTTCTCCATGTACGTAAATCTTTTGGATGGGGAGTATTATGACGTTGTAATGAGCTCTAAAAAAAATTCTTTGTGTGTGTGTGTGTGTGAAAATGAATTAATAAATCTTCATACTTCTTTTCCTTCATCTGATTGATCAGCAAATTTAACTGAACCAGTACGTTCATGTCGATCATCAATTGGTGATTGAGACTTGTATTCATCATGTTCTGGATAAGAGGGTGTGGATATTGAAGGTATCTTTGCTGATTCACTATTGAGATTTTGAGATTTTGAAACATTTAGAAGATTTTCTATAGAACATAAAAAGAACAATATTAATAAGAAAATAAAAATATCACTATCGAAGAATATAAAAATAAAACGCAAATATCCAAATAATAGTTTACAAAAAAAGGAATATGAAATTAATAATAAATTAGCATTGATAATTCAATATAAACAAACCATTGAAAAACCCAATAGAAAATAAAAAAGATTTTCTAAAGATAAAAATTAGAATTTACCCTCATCAGGATCATTGAAATGTATATATATATATATATTGATATAATTTGGAGAGTCATCATGCAAAAAAGGATTAGATTAATAACTTCGTCTTTTTATTTTTATTTTACTCGATAAAAAATCAACTCAAAATTTAAATAAATAAAACTCAATTTTAAAAAACAAACAATTTTCATTATCAAACAAAATGACTTATATATCTATTCGATATATCGTACATACCCATTGATGATGTTGTATATTGTTGTTGTGGTAGTAAATAACAGGTGAGTACTTTTTCACCGGTTGTGGAGTCAATATCTGTTGCAAATTTTAACATTGGTTGTGCTTGATTTTCTGCTAACCATATGGCTTTTAAATCACATTCAAGTAATGTACATGGTAAATTTAATAAACGATTTCCTGATAAATCAAGAACATGTAAATGTTTTAATTTCGATAATTCTGATGGTATCTGTGTTAAACGGTTATCACGTAAACCAAGCATACCTAATGATTCACATCCAGCAATCTATAAAATACACCAAAAACAAAATATTAACTTCTAGAAAAATAAAAGTTGACTATAAGCTTTTGACTATAGAAACAAATATATGTAGGTTTCTAGAGAACAATTTTCTTTATATGTGCCATGACGTTCAACTGTATACTGCTGATATTTCTATTTAACAAATATGTATTTAGTGTCGTTAGATAGAGTATATCAAGTAACCTATGCAAACCTAGCTTTCTTTTTTTTAGAAATGTTGGAAAAAAAATTATATTCAAACATTGTGATTAGAGTCCTCCATTATCACAGATATGTATAGATATTCTTGCTTTTGTTTCATTTTGTAGAACATTACAAGAGCTATTTACTGATTGTGTGACACACTTGTTTTACGTCCATCATCTGCAAAATCAGAAAATAGCTCTTCTCATGTTCTAGAAAATGAGAAAAAAAAGAATATTTATATATCTGCGATAATGGACGACTGTAATCCTGATATTTCGATTTAGTCTTTTTTTTTGGAATATTTTCAAAAAACATAAAAAGCAGTTTTTCATACGGAATTCGATGTCCTCTATCCAACGAAACTAAGTAAAATTTGCTAAAAGTTTGAGTTTTGGATACCTAACATGATTAGACAAAAGATGTCTTTATTTACAAATCTATATATATTCTGTTCTGTAGTGAAAACCTTAAAATCGTCTCTAAGAATATTTACTTCGACAGGTAAATGCGTTAATTGATTACGATCAACATTTAAATTTGTTAATTTTTTTAAATTTCCAATTGATATTGGAAGTTCTGTTAATGCATTTTCAGTTAATATTAATTCTGTTAATGCTAAACATTGTCCAATTTCGTCACATAATTTTGTTAAACTGTTCGAGTTAATTTTTAATATTAATAAACGTTGTTTAAGCTGACCAATTGTTGATGGTAATTGTTCAATTTGATTTGATGATGCTTCAAAATTAGTTAATGATTCTAAATCTCCAATCTCATTTGGTAAAAAAGTTAATTTATTTTCTGATACATCTAAACATTGTAAACGTTTTAATTGACCAATATCATTTGGTAATTCATGTAATTCATTGGAATCTAACCATAATTCTTTTAATGATTGTAAATTACCCATATGATTTGGAAGTTGTTCAATAACATTTGAACCCAAATCAAGTGATTCAAGTTTAGGTAATTGTACAAGTGAATCTGGTAACGTTTTGAGCAAATTTTCTCGAACTTCAAGTACACGTAAATTGGAAAGACTAGAAAAGAAAAACAACAAAAAAAATATAATCCTTTATAGTTCCTTTTGTTTTCTTTTTACAAATTATTACGTTGAAGCAAAAAAAAAGAAGGTAAAATGCTAAGTAAGGATATATTCTTTTGCTAAGTCATAGCCGAATTACACTAGTTTCAAGATTTATAATGAATCTAATTGAAAAATTCTTTTTTAATAAATAGCAATATTTATTTCGTGTTACGATGAATATATTTTCAATATCGTTTTATCTAAAACCTTCCTGAATGATAGGAAAAAAAAATTGTTCGCACTATTCGGTTACAGAAGATATATATATATATATAGGGTGTCCAGTAAGTAACTCCACAAAGAAAAAGTTGAATATCTTCATTACAACTCGACCAAACGGGCTCATTTTTTTACCAAGGATAGAGGCATGTTCACATTTCAAATCCATACGGACAAGGTTAGTGGGAACCTNGCTAAGCATGATATGATACTGAATATTATGGTCTTCGATATTAGTCGAAAGTATTTGTAAAATATTTTTTCTTACATATGATTTTGTAGAGTTTTTGGCAGGTTAAAATCTTATATACGTAGCATCTTCGATCATCTCGTCAATGTGGCTATCGGTGAATGTGATTGTAGGTATGTAGTCGTCCATCCGTAAAATTCGCTCGAATTCCTTCAAAGTTTTATGAAAACAGGATTTATTATATACCATTCCATGCGCCTGAAAATGCTCTACAATATGGTATACTTGGTTTCTCATTCCTGAATACGTTACCTTATCCGACAAGGTCCTTCAAACACAGGACTTAGAACTTTTGGTTAGCCCTAAATATTAACAATCGAAATAGAAAATGAGAATTTTTTTTTTTTTCATTTTTATTATCGAATTTCTTTCGTAATAAAAATTCAAGTGTCACGTATTATCTTTCTGAAAGACTAACTTATATTGAAAATAACATATTATTCAACTATTTTATATCACGATTTAAAGAAAATTCTAGAAACGACTCGAACCAAAGAAAAAACATTTTCTTCATCTATTTGTTGTTTTTATTTTAAACTTCTTGTCTTTTCTTTTCTTTAACTATGATGTTAACAATATCAAATGAATGATATCCTCTAAAACAAAAACAACTAAAATTTTATTTTTTTCCGGTTGTTGCTGTTGAACTGGTAGCAGATTTAGTTGACTTTTTTTTTGGATGTACACGTTTTGTACGTTTTTTTGTTGGCTGTGCTGTTGTTTCTCCAGTAAAATAAGTTGTAATATTTTTTAATAGTGATGAAATTGACCATACTGATGGTTTTTGTTCTATTTGACGAGCAGGTCCACGTACAAATACTTTGCTTTTTGAACCTTCAGCACTAGCTAATTTAACTTTTCGTGATTTAAGTAAATTTTTACGTGCAACATGATTATGATGTTTGGTAAATTTTAAATTACGAACATATTTTGGATCAACCTAAAATTAAAAAAAATACATATTAAATATTTCCTCATTTCTTTCTGATTTACATACTCCAGTTAATGATGGAAATCGTTGCGATTTCGGTCGCTTTATTCCATTACGATGATCCTTTCGATCTAATTAAGAAAATTAATTTTAAAAAAGTTTAGTATGAATTTTAAAAATATATATATTCATACTTTGATTATGATTGGTATGGTTTTTGCTTTTGGCCATTGTTCGTTTATGTTAATATAGAGGATGAAATATCTGAAATAAAAATTAGTAAGTGCTTTAACTGAATCATTTTTTTTCATTTGCTTCATTATTAATTGATTTTGAGAAAAACATTTTTTATCTAATTATAAAAGAAGAAATTCGTTCTGTTTTACTTATATCATTCAAGACAACTTCTCTCATCATTATTAGAATTTAATATAGTTTACATTTTTGTTTAATAAATTGTATAGTGTAGATTGAAGTCATATACGACATAGTTCAATACTTAAGGATTTTAAATATAGCTAAAAGTATAGTAGAATTTAGATGTTTTACTTGGCCTATGTTCGTAATGTTCAAACAATAAAAAAAAATATTTTATAAGATATATCGATAAATAACTAATATGCAAAGAAGAAATTCACTGGTAGAATATTAAACATTGTATTTTCGACGTCAATAATTGTCTTGAATAGATGCTGTAGTATTGTTGTTTAATTCGATATTATCAGTGCAAATTTCAGCCACATTCGATGATATGCTTATAGACTTTTCTTTTTTTTTTAAAAACAACGGATCACAAAAAGTATGGATGTAAGAGGAATCTTTGTCGGATGATATGATTGGTTTCAATGAGACGTTTTTTCAACATTTATATGGTGGAACATAAGAACGTTCGCAAACTACTGACATCTATCAAGAAACGTTTCTTTTTCGATAAGGATAAAGGAAGAATTATATATTTAGATTAGTTCATCAAAATAATACTTTGCGTAAATACTCAGCTGAATAAAAGGTTTTTTTTTTGTTGAAAAAAGGAAAGAATCAATGAAACACAAGATATTATTCACCAGAAGTTCAGAAAATACATGCAGAAGATTAATTTAATACGATGGGAATCGATAAGTTAAAAAAATGACGCATTTCGATTTATTTTTGAAAATTATTTAACTATTTGTATGAAATTTCATTAACGAAATAACGAAGAAAATATTTCATGAATTTTTGAATAAAATCGAACGCATAAAGAAATTCTTCAAAGTAAATTCGTAGACAATTTTTTTCCGAAGGAACATTTTCAACTTTTAATGCGTTTTTGAGTCAGGCTTCATAAGATTTATATTGTCCATTTCACCAAAAAGTGTACTCTATTGTTGTTTGAATAACTCAACGATAAAGTCAGTTAGAGACCTGCGGCTTTCACCGATCGACAAAGGAAACATGAAAACATCTTTTTCTGCATTATTATATTAGACGAAATATTTTTTATAATTAGTCATTTCTGCACAGCATTGCAAAAAATACAGAAAAAAACGATCTTTCATTCCGATAAAATTTGGGTTTTGATATGTGATTTAGATAGAGAGACTTCAGATCTATAGTTCAACATATAATTAGAATGATTATCTTCTCACATTTTTATGTTGAACAAATAAAATCGTCTATTTACTCGTATGAACACTGTGAATTTCTTTTAATTTTTAAGCAAATATTCTTATCTTTTGTCAAGAATTTCATCTGAATTACGAACTGTTTTCATACATTTTTCGATGAATCGTACAAATCACTGATTTTAAAATGATTTCTTCATATACAATAATGGAGAAAAGGATATCTTCATGTCTTCTCTGTCAATCGGTGAAATCCACAAGTCTCTAACTGATTGTGTCGTTAAGTTATTGAAAAATCAGTGAAGCACACTATATTTTGAAATCTGCAATAGATCTTAATAAACTATAAAATAGTTCATTTTTATTATCTGTTTCTGAGGAAATATCGGATATTTTTCGTGAATTTGCAATGTACCACATTTCAGAATTGCAATGTGAAACTTTCTCCACATAAAGAACGCAATAAGACTAACTTTCATAAACAATTTCAGAATGGTTGGTGTAAGCCGCTTTAAGATATAAAACTATCAAGATATAATAGGCGTTTCCCTGTAGTTAGTATATGAAGCATGTATGTTTTCAACAATTTCATATTTTAGAGAGACATTATCCTAAAATTTTGAAAAATGTTGTATAAAGTTAGTCGAATTAAGGTCTTTATATGAACAAAGTTTTAAGTCAAAATTCGAAAATATAGTCTTGCTGCGAATGTGGGATTCTACAATGAAAGTTCATTAATAATGTTCAATCTTTTTGGAAACAAGCCATGAACATATAGGAAATACTCCTGTCTTCAATCGGTTAGATTTAGTAGATTTCATTTAAGAAGGAATTTCACACGAGTTGTAAAACATCCTTTATAATTCGATATAAATTTTTCTCATTTTAGTTGTCACTTTATTCGTAATGATTTAAAAAACTTATTTATATATATATAATTTTTGAAAAAATCATTCATATTGTTCCATCGTGTTCACAAGTAACAACAATTGTTCCTGAGGATTATGTTGTACCAGACGAATCATGTTTATTCACTTCATTAGAATTATTTGTTTGGGTATTCTTGTAAGTTATTTTTCAATTAAAGCTGATGATTTCGAATTAGTTCAAATTTTTCAAATGAAATTATATATAAAAGCAAATTTAGATAATCAAAAAACTAATAAATTATTTTTATTAAATGTTAAGCTTCTTACGAGGGAATTACCAGAGCTAGTTCACAAGAAGATTTCGATATAACTAGAAAAATTCTAAAAAAGTTTGTCCCCATGACCCTCTAGAGTCGATTTATAATCACTTTATTGAGTCTGCCGTCCAGCTCGAAGTACTGAAGTATTTATCAAAACATGAAATAATATAATTTGGTCCATAGATAGATCTAATGATTCTAAGAATATCTGAAAGTTTTAGCCGAAAAGAATGTTTCCTTGTCGAGGTATTGAACTTCCAACAGATAGCCGCTTGCCACAAATATTAAGTTTAGTTGAAAATTTAATATTTTGACAAAAGAACATTCTATTCAGTTGCAACTTTTAGGAGATTTTTACATTCGTAAGATGTATCGGTGAAAAAAATTTCAGGCCAAAATTCCATTGTTTGATTTTTCGGTAAATATCTAAGGCCGGATCGAAAATTCATATAAACGGTCATAACTCAGCTCGAGACGCCTATGGACACGAGTTCTTTTCAGACTTTTCTATTCTTATCGAGTCCGCCTTATGAATCCAATATGAGCTGAAACAACAGGTTTCAGTTTGGGTAGCCAGGTCGGGAACGATGATATAATCAATCGTATAATATTCGTTTCAAAGTTGTCTCAATTTCAAAATTAGCTTTGAGACCATGGCTTATAAGTGTTTCGCATAAGATTGACAAACAAGCTTGTGGCTTCTATTGACTATAGATCTATACTTTTGTTTTCGATGATGACATATAAATGCTTGCGATAATCTTTCCATTACTCAAAATATTCGTGTTCAAGACAAAACGAAAGTTAATGGAATTAAAAATAAAACGTCTGTTCTCACATTCTTGCAACTAATTAATATCTTCTATATTATTGGTTGTTTTTTTGATAGAATAAAACGTGTTTATCATTCAGCAGAATATCTACTCATAGTACCGTATTGTAACGATTCCATCGAAATATACAATTCTTGCTCGTTTAAGTCCGATATGACAAACAAATATGTGCATATATATGATAGTACTGTAGCATTCATTTAATAGTTGTCGTGCTTGTTCTTCGTATTACTCTGAAAAGCAATCATTAAAATGATGAGGTCTGATTAAATTTCACAAAAAGTTAGATAGAAGAATAAAATATTTTTTTTTTGCGCATGTGTTAATTTAGCGTTTTGTTTTGTGTAGCAATAATGAATAAAAAATAAAAGCTGCAATTCTATTGACACTATAACTACTAGAATAAGCATATACGAATAGTATTTCTATTTCGAATTTTTTTTATTATTTTATTTTTGTTCTAACTCGTTCGTTGCGTCTGTTTGCAAAAGTTGATCGATTTGTAAGACATGTTTAAGAATTTTTAAAATTATAGTATACTCTTCATTAATAATTGGTGTATCATTAAGACATAAAATTTGATCATTTCCTTGTGAAGTTGAGAAAACAGAAACTGATTCAGGTTGATAGACTAACAATTAAAAGATAAAATAGAAAAATGTAATAGTGAAATTTTATACTTGATGATTGATCATTGCTAATTTGTGACATATCTTCAGGTGATTGAAATTTTACTCTTGTTGTATTAGTTATTGTGGGTTCTGATTCTTTTAGATTTGTTTCTAACTGTTCAACATTGATATATTCATGTGATTTTTGAAATAGTTGATTGATCTTATCATGTTCGATTTGATTAGCATCATTTGAAGTAATTTTAGGAAAAATAGGTGACCAACTACTTAATGCTAATGCTAAATCTTGATATTGAAATGGATCAAGATCGATTTTAATTGAAGATTGATCTAAAGAAAAGAAAGAAATATATAAATTAATGAAAAAAAAAAAAAAACTTTTAAGGATTCTTAACCTTCCATTTCTGAATGAAGCATTTGTTCTTCTTCATTACTAAAGTTATTTTGATATTCTGGATCAAATTCATAAGTGACTTCATAACATTCAGAGAATGTATCACCATTTGGATGAACAATATATAATCTATCTTCGATATTATCATCTTTATCTTGTATTTGTTCATTATCTTTTTGAACTGATGATTGTACATGATCTGCTGTTAAATCAATTCTTTCCTTAGGTGTAAATGTATTAGATGGAAGAATATTTGTTGGCGTTTCAATACGTGATATAAAATCATCTGCATTATCATCTGTTATTGTTGTTTGAGGATCTGATGGAAATCGTGAAATAGCACAACAACAATGTGTTGATGAAGAATCAGGATAATCCAGCACCAATATTGGAATATTAGGAATAGGTTTTTCACTTGTTTTAGATTGTTGTTCAACTAAAGAATTGAGAAATGATAAGTTTTCAGATTATAACAAACAAAAAAATGTTTACGCTCATCGTTAAGTTTCATAGTTGTTTGTTTTGATTCATTTTGTTGTTCTGTTTCATCATCATTTAAAATAATCTCTGTTGATGAATTTTCAATTGTACTATGTTTATTTTCCGTTTCAGTATCAATTGATTTTGTGGATGGTTGTTTTTTTTTAATCTTAAAATGTTTTCGTTTAATCAAAAAAATTTTTGGTGTTATAAATTTTGATGTTGAATTTTGACTTTTAGTAGTTTTTTTTGATGATGTTGATACTTGAAAATTTTCTGTTATTACTTCAACATCAGGAAGAACTGGTATAATTGTTATTTCATTAATATTTGTTGATTGCTTTGGTTTACAACTTGTTGTAAATGCTCGACTTAAATTACGTAAACCAATAGCTAAACGTTTTCTATTTATAAATCGTGAATTCATTTCTGATTGTTGATTTTCATCTGAATTATCAAAATCATTTGTTTGATTTTGATTTGATGAAGGAGAATGATTACGTGAATTATCAAGAATAGGACATATTGGAGCACGTCGTTTAGTATGCGTTTCTTGTTGACTTTCTGTTTCATTTAATTGATCATTACTAGTTGGATTACTTAAAATATTAATTGATGGTAATGATAAATAATGAAAATTAGGTACACGAACAATTAAATCAGATGTATTCTCCTCATCATGATGTTGTTCAATACGAATTATTGATCCATGATAAATAGGTATTGATGAAGGTTTAGAATTTTTTGAAAATGCAAATGAATATTGATCAAGATTTTCAACCGAATGTGATAGTGGTGAAGATGATTCTTTAATATCAGGAACTGTTAGCTAGATTATATCATAGTTTAAATTTGTTTCTTTTATTTTAATATTAAAATAAAACTTACAATCATAGATATAGTACGATTTTGAAGGAGAGTCGTCATTGTTACTGAGCCTAAGAATTGAGAAAAGCAACAGTAACAAAAGCTCCTGTCTTCAACAACAATACACAAAACACAATAAGTGCGATTCTGTATTCGACTTAAGGACAATTAGTCTTCCTACTCTGTTTTGTTATCAATTCTCGGCATATGTTACCTTCTGACAAAAACAAAAATAAAAGATCGATCAAGAACAAAAATACTCAAATTACATAGGGTACAGAAAAAAATCAAAAGAAATATAAAAAGAAAACCTTAATAAGCTTGATATGGCGCAGTAGAAGGTGGAAAGTTGAAAAAAACCAAATTCTTTTTTTTTTTGACTGGGACCGAAACTAGAACAACTGATCTTGTTCATGTCTAATTAGGCGTCCAACAAGGAGGATATTAACCACTAAATAGGTCGCAATATATAGCAGCAAAATATTTTAAACTTATAGACAGTAAAATGGAAAAAATATAAAGTTTATCTTTTGCTAAGACCGATACCCGAAAATGATTTTTTTTTACCTAGACCAACAAAGGTTGTGATATTCATGTCTTGCTTCTTCTTCATTAGATTTAAAACGGTTGCCAAAAACATGAATATTCAAGAAGAGACTATTCTTATTAATAAATAGAATTCATTTCTCTATCTTATTCAACATACTGTTTAATATTATTTGATGAAACATGACTTAAAAAGAGTGTTGGAGTATAGAGGTAGAAATTACAACGTCTTCCTTTGAGATACATAATAAAATGATGATTAATTAATGTGAAGGTGAATGAAAATTCACTGATATAGTTTATTAAATGATGCACAAGAAGAGAAGATGATAATTAACAAGATAATACAGAGGAAACAAGAAGAATGTGATCTATCGAATTGATGAAAGTTTATTATTATTATAGAAAGTTGTTATCGAATTTACATATAATCTTGCTATTCTTATTATAGAAAAACACACTTCTTATTTCAATTTGTACACATGGAGAAATCATTGGAAAGCTATGTTGTGTTTCACCAAAGCGTTTTGTCTAAATACAATAAATATCGATATGTAGGGCTCTCTGTATATGAATTTTGCCTATTGTAGTCATATAAACAAGTGAGATTGTATTCGTTCATATTGATATAAAATATTCATCTCAACGTCTTCAATAGAACTGTGACAGTTTCCGATCTAAGAACTGAACTGGTGTTAGTCACCCAGTTCTTTTAAAAGAAACGGGAACTGGTGACCAGCTTTTTTCGAAAAGAATTGGATATAGTGAACAGGTCTATCTAACAGAATTGATCGTGGTAATCAGTTCTTTTTTGACAACTGGAGCAAGTATTGAGTAAATTCGCTAGATCACCATTATTGATAGAACAAGTAAAGTTGAAAAAAAAACAGTCACAGGACCCAGTTCTCAAAAAAAAGAACCAGTTCTTAAAACTGTGAGCTATCACAGGTCTAGTCTTCAATAACATTTTAACAAGCATCAGACAACGCACCGTTCTTGTGATCATCGCGTCACAAATTATAGATTTTGGATGCGGAATTCAAGAGAGAAAAATTATAAGGTGCTTCGCACCTTAATAAATATATACATAACAAGAAGAAAGGAAGAAATTAGGGGACGGCTAACACCGTTACATCCTTCCTCCATGTCTCTTCTTTGTCACAGACCATAGTAGGCATTTTCACGAGACTGAAACCTACTGCAGAAATAGTATGAACAATGGTTGAGTTTACGATAGTTGCTCTTCTTTCATACTAAGTAAAATTTAATAATGATGATAGTATTTCGTCATCAAAACACATGAACAATAGATAGTAGTTCCCAAACTGATATGCACGTTGTAGGCAAAATTAGAATGCAGGCAAGTTTAAAATTTGAGTGTTAATTAGACGCTCATCAGTCATAGCTACAATGCCATTTTTGTCTGGACAATATTATACTTTGACAACAGATAAATTCATACGATAAAAACAATAAAAATCTGAATAAAATAACTATTTTCTTTTATTGAATAACATCTTTTCATTTCACTGAATAATTTAATCTATTGTAGATCGTAGAACTTTTCATGTTGCATCTTGTAGTATATTTTATTTTTCAATAAAACGTATTAAATGATGGCAAACTTAAATGGAAAGCGCGTTCATTCATTATGATTCACTACTATCGACGCCAAAATAAAATGAACCTCAATAATTTTTGAATATCTCGAGAACAGTAGAAACTAGAGATCTGCGGTTTTCACCATTCGAATGAGAAATGTGGGGAAATCTATTGATGCTAAAATTGTTTCGTAAGAGATTATTCGAGTGGTCAGTAAATGTCCGAACATAAGTCGGACAATGACATCCAAAAATTTCCCATAACACTTTTAACTTTGACAACGAGATTCTATAGAGAAGACATATCTCTTCCTATCCTGTAAGGTTCAAGGTTATATCTACTACTGTTCAGGAACTGGACAGTGGTCAATATAACCTGTATAACCACTAAAACTCATTCAAAAAGGGTCTTTTTTTTATGAAATTAATCTCAAATTTCGTTGACATATAGGTTTTCAACCTTGGCACATCTAACGGCATCGTCTATTTAAAAAAAAAAGAATTTTTTTTTATTGTTTCGGTCATTGGTTCAATGCTGTTGAGGATAAAAAAAAAATTTCTTTTTTTGAAATAGACGATGCCATTAGATTTGCCGAGGTTGAAAACCTATATGTCAACGAAATTTGAGATTAATTTCATAAAAAAAAAGACCCTTTTTGAATGAGTTTTAGTGGTTATACAGGTTATATTGACCACTGTCCAGCTCCTGAACGGTAGTAGATATAACCTTGAACCTTACAGGATAGGAAGAGATATGTCTTCTATATAGAATTTCGTTGTCAAAATTAAAAGTGTTATGGGAAATTTTTGGATGTCATTGTCCGACTTATGTTCGGACATTTACTGACCACTCGAATAATCTCTTACGAAACGATTTTAGCATCAATAGATTTCCCCATATTTCTCATTCGAATGGTGAAAACCGCAGATCTCTAGCTTCTACTGTTCTCGAGATATTCAAAAATTATTGAGATTCATTATATTTTGGCTTCGATAGTAGTTATATTTATTCCCCTTATCGACAGGATTGTCACGATCACAATTTTCTCTCTCCGTTTATCATTCTCATCAACGTTTGGTAAATCATGTGATTGTAGGAATTTATCTCGAGTTGCAGTCTAAATTAACCCCGAATATCAATAACTCCATCGTATTGCACATTTTAATCCCATAGCGATAGTGCTAACAACTTTCTTTTTGTTAGGATCATGTTTTGGCTGATGTATGTAAATTTTCTAATTCTTTTCACCTTCAGATTGTACAGCAATTAAAAATATAAAGAAGCACAAAAAAAGAAAAGACACGAATGCTATACTAAAAAAAAACACAAAACGAGCAATATTTATCAACTCTTTTTAACACATAATAGCAATTAGAAAAAAGAAAACTAAAATTTGTGTTTTCTGTCAAAAAAGTATGGATTCATTCATAACTGAAAATTGTAGATTATTATTATTTAAACCTTGTTGTATAAGTATGAGAACCTCACTAAATTCAAGATTCTCAACATTAGTACCATTAATATAAATAATACGATCATCTTTACGTAAACCAATTTGATAAGCTGGAGATCCAGGTTCAATATCACGAATACGAGGATTTAAACCTGTTTTATTATCAGCAGATATTAAAATTCCAAGACCATCATAAGAATTCGAACGTTTTAATATGTAATGTCGAAGTGATGCTTCGGAATTTTCAACAGGAGTTTTCGCATGAATAGATTCTAAAAATAATATAAAACAACATTCTGTTTTTCCTATTCAAGGCAAATATTGTAATAAAATGAAGAAATAGTTTTAAGTTCTCAATCATGTATAGAAAGAAATTCCTACGATTTCGTTTTGCTTTTTTAACTTACCTTTTACTTATCATTAACTGAAGCATACAATCACTGATTGTAATACTATTCAAAACACTTATTAACACTTTTTTTCTTTGTGCAAATAAAAATCATTCAGATAAAAAGAATTAAGCCTTTACAAGTTGAATGCATACAATTTTACTGCTTAAATAGACTGGTTTTTTTTTCCAGAATTATATATATGTATTAAAATATAGATAAATGTATGAAGCAAAATTCCATGCATATTTTTTTGAAAAAAAAAAACCATAAATTATTCGTTAAAAAAGTTCTTTTTAATATTATTAGTTTACTATATTGTTACCCTGTCTAGATTCCGTAGTTTGATATGAACGAGCTGATTGATCGTAGATTTTTTCTCGTTCAATTACAGTTGATGGTCGTGTAAAATTTGAATTTATATCATCATCATTGAAATTATCTATGAAAAAAGAAAAATTTATTACTCAGTTGGTTTTGTTTTGTCTTCTTACGAGAGTATCGATTATTGGAATAGTGTTGTTCATCATGTGGAGATTGTCGTTGATATTCATATGAAACTACATAGTGTTCTTCTTGCATATCATTATGTTTTCTTTCTTGTTCAGGAATTCTTGAATTATATTGATATTCATTTGTAATCTTCGGTAGATCAATATCATGATCATCCTGTGTACCTTCAAGTTAAATAGATGTTTATGGTTTTTTCTTTATGTCAATATCATTTTTACCTTGAATACTCCATGTTCGAAGTTCTCCACCATCAATATAACTATGCTTATCTTTGGTATAAACTGTTGTTGAACTACGATAAATTATTGGAATTTCAGAAGAATCACAATATGATGTTCGAGATGGTGTCGAAGGTATTCTATCATGTGCATCATCAATATCAACACGAATACCATTGGTATCTGTTTGTAATGAGGGTTTTTGAGGAGTTAAAGGTCGAATATAACCATCATGATGATGAATAGGAGAATGTGATGATGGTGAACCACTGTTGAACATATTAGACCATTGTTGTTCTTGATCATAATCATTTAATGTTGTAGTTGATGCATCAAAACGTTGTATTCGTTTAGGACTTGTTTTCACTGTTGGATATTCATTATAATGAACAGAAGTTGGTCTTATATGATAATGAATAATGGCACTTAATCCAGGATATTTAGGAACTAAAAGAAAAATGAAAATTTAATAAAAATAAACAAAAAATAAGAATTTTACTATTCGTTGTTGCTGGTTGTAATGAAGTTAAACTATTACTATGCATAATTTTTGCATCAGGTAATGGAACATATGTATTTGTATATGATCGACTTGGTTGAACAGAATTACTAACAGTTGACAATGAATTATATGTTTCATCAAGATGAGAATGAGAATTAGTTCGTTTTGATTTTTCTGTATTTGATATATGACCAAGTGGTATAAAAGGTGCATTTAATTTTGGAACATCAACATCCATTGATGATGCTGTTGAACGCATTTCAGTATTAGTGAGAGACGACGATGATAAACTCTTCCATTGATTAGAATTGATAGTTGATTTTGGTGATTGTGTTATCGGTGGAGAAATTATTGGAATGCTGTCGACTAAAATTCGAGCAGTTGTAAATGAATGAGTCTCATCTACTTTATGCTGTTGTTTTGGTGGAGAATAATTTGTAGTTTGAGGACGTAATGGACTTTTTTCGACTAAGTTTTGAATAGGTGTTAAGGATGGAGCATCATCGATTTTACGTCGATATTTTGGTGTATGAAAGACTTCAGTATCTGATAATGGTGGTGATGATGAAATATCATTATGATAAGAATATTCAATATTTGTATCAGGTAAACGATGATGATTCATTGATGGTGAACGACTACGATTCAATGGATATGGTGGTGGTGTAATAGTATCCCGATTAGATATCATTACCTGAAACAAAAATAAAACATTCAATGTCAATATACGTTTTCTTTCAAAAAAAGAAAATTCTGTTGTTAAGTGATTATGTATTCTCATAATTTGTGCTGAATAAACAGATGAAGTTGTTTTTTTTTACAGTTAAACAAGCTCTCTCTCTCGCAATATATCTCTAAATTTTTCTTTCTTTTAATAATCAATTATTTGAGCAAATATCATGTCCAAAGGTCAATTTCAGAGAATCGAAAGACATTGGCAAACAACATGTATTTAATATTACGTCGACAAACAATGACTGTTGATTACTAATATTATTCATACGAACGAAAGATAATCCTAAGGAAAAAAAAAACTAACCAGTTTATCAACTGATAACTTTACCTGTTGAGATGGTTTTGTATTATCAATAACCATATAATCACGAAAACCTTTTGTTGTTGTTTCGTAATTTGTTAATGAATGAGTTCTTCCAGTATTACCATGTGAAATTTCTGGTGTTCTTGGGACAAAATTTTGACCATGTATTGATGTTTGATGTTCTTGTAGATAGATGGGACCGGAGATTTCCAACGGTGCTGCTGTTGTTCTTTTAGTTTTACGATTACCTTTTGTTTTCGTTTTTCCATTTTGTGTTGCTGGCGATTTTGATTTTTTCTTTCCAAACGGCCAACTAACAAGAGGTGCTCGTAAATGAGGTGCTTCCGTAGCTGCTGGTTGTGTTTCTGGTGATAGAGATTGTTGACGCGCTGATGATGCAGTTGGTGTGCGTTCAGTATTATTCATCGTACGATTAGGTGATGCAGAATTTTTTCGAAATAAACTTCGAAATTTACCACTCAAACTACGACGATTAGCATTATGTTGTGGATTATTCTCATTATTTTCATTTCTTGTTCGAGCACGACGTGTTGGACCAGGAGATGAATTTTGTTTAGAAAATGCAGCTGAAGACATTTTTTATATAAATAATAGATTTTTATCTATTATAATGAATAATGAAGAGGAAATTCATAAATATAAAATGCGTATAGATGGTCTTTATTTATACTAGAATATGAGCATATATCTTATGCATATAATTAGACACGTACAAGCACTTTTACTGTTGCTGAGGATAAGTAATTTGCTAACATTATGATGACAAGCGACGTCGTTCGTTTTTCTTTTTTAAGTTTTATGTTGCACTGCTCGATGAAATATTTCGCCTTATAATCTCTCCTCCTCTTCTTTTTTTTCTCTCCCTCTTTCGTTTAGTTTTATATATATATTTACAACTGAAGAAAAAGGAGAGAGAGGCAGAGGGAGAAAAAAAATGGAAGGGAATACAAAGAAAGCAAGTTGATAAAATACGATTCCTCTTTAACAAGATTGAATTCTATTGATCAAACAGTTCAATAAACGATTGAATATATATATATATATATCAATTACTTTGTTTGATTATGATCATCTATATTTCTCGTCGTCGTTTTAAATTCATAAGTGTTTTTTTTTATTCATTTTTTATAACCGAATACTTATGATAGCAAAATTTTTCATATTACCATACAAATCTTTGTTTTTTCTGTGACCTTCAATAATTTCTTTTTCTCGTTAATATTAACGTGCAAATAAAACTAAAATGCTAATCTATAGAATTGTTTTTCGTCAATCATGTAAGTCTTATTACCGCCTACTTTCGCAATAATTTTTACACATGAAGAGTAAAAATGTATCGAATTAGGCATAGAAGTAGAAAAGGAATGTAGGTGTACGGTTTTGAATTACTTCTTAGTCCACTTCAACCATGTTGATAATAAAAAAAGTATTTGTATGTCTCTTCCACTCATATAGGCATGTCGTGTCACTTTTTTTTTTTACTACGGCAACAACAATATTATATTTTTTTATAACTCACATTTTTTAGAGATGACTGTTTTATATATTATACATATAAATAAAGTAAACTAGATATTAAAATAACAGCACAAGATATTGCTGAAGGCTATGAATTTTTTTTTTTTGTTTAATACTGAGATGGAAATTTGATCTTATTAAATCGGTTTACAGTTTAGTGCAAGATATCCGTCTTTGTTTTGTGTAATAAAGAAAGTAAGAAAAAAAATCACGATAACGAATATCTGATGATTAGATTCAACGATATATAATAGTTGTTGACTTAACATACGCCTACATTCATACAATGTGTATATGCACTCTAAAGCATCGATTCTATTCGGTTGATTGCAGGCGACATTTGTATGACAAACTACTTCTAAAATCTTTCACTATTATGCTTATGTATATGGTTCAAGGCGATGAATCAAGAAGAAAAAACGAATTAAAAAGAACGGATTGAAAAATTGACGTTGTCGATATTTGTAGCTATCAATCATTAGAAATCTATTCATATCATCGAACTTCTTTGATTAATAAGTAAGCGCAACGATGAATAAAATGAAAAAAAAAAAAAGAAAACTTTTTTTCTTCTAATTACTTATGTTTTACGTACTGTGACAGACGATTACCACCTACTGATCAAAAATTACTTTTTCATAATGTGCTTATGAATCGAAATCAAGTTTAAAAGGGACCTTTTTCTCTTTCTCTAACTACTAGTTGTATTTTATTCTTTGACATTTAGATATAGAAAGAAGATGAGTGATATAAGTTGACAGAAGCATTGAATTTGATATCAAAGTACAAGGAGAATAGATGGGTGTATGACAACAGTTATTTACCAGAATACATATGCTTAAAAGTGATCATATGTAGAATAAAGAAATATGATCAATCAAAACTGAGAATTTTTTATGAAACCTTTGAATAATAAATAATTTATTTTTAACTTGAAAATATTTAGTTACAAAACATGTGTTTTTACATATACATAACATAGCTACAAATATTTTTTATCTGATTTTTATTAGATAATTTGTTTGAATTGATATTAGAATCTATCAGTAATAAATACGAAATATAATAAGACATTACCAAATAAATAAATAAAACGATGAATATAAAACTACTCGATTATTCATACCATTAAGCATAAGCAAACAATTGTAATACCAAACATGCAAAAGTAGTATTTGTTCATAGTAGTATCTTCAACTTTTTCCTTTGCTTCGACATACATATATATATTTATTTATTTGCTTTTGTCGATAAACGACATATTTATTTATTGTATATATGAAACAAGGTTGAGAAATCGCACAAAGAAGTCACGTCACTTGATCACTTCTGCTCATTGAAAGTACGGAGAAGCAATTTTCTGTTACATTTATTACTATTGAATTATATCCTAAACATCGTCTTGGCAAAAGAAGGCTGCTCGTGAAGGAACGATGTGCCCAGTATAATAGAAAACTCTTCTTAATTAAGCACATTCTCCAAAAATTCGAATATTTACATCAAAATATGTCTAGTTTTCAGTGTTCGAAGGTGAAAATTTAAAAAACTGAAGTCAACACTATTTCTGAGCTTTTAAGAATCACTTCTCACACTAGCGAAATCGTTTTAGTTTTTTTGAAAAACTTTTCTAATTAGGTGATAAATGAAGTACAATAGAAAATTCTTTCGGTAACTTTGTACGTTTGGATGCAATAATAAATTTGGAATTGTCTATTGCAGGAAGCGGTTTCATGAAAAAATGCTTACAATCTAACGCATATCTGAACAATATTAGAGAGCTTCATGATTAATCTTTAAAATAATATCTGATTAAAATATTAAAAATTCGCTGCCAGAACGTATTTTTATTTTGAAAAGTTTTTCGCTTAATGTTTTTATTACATTTGAATATTATTGAAAAAAAAAACAAATGGTTGAAATAAATGTTTTATGAATATTAATTGAGCTACTTCTTTTTCTTTTTTCCAGCTGAGGTTTTCTTTTTAACTGGTTTGGCCATAGTTGCTAATCTTGCTTTTTCTTCATCCATTAATTTTTTTTCTTGAGCAGCTAATTCTTCTAGACGCATCCGTTCGATTTCAAGAAACCGCTGTCGAAATGCTTCACGTGGTTCATTAACAGTACGACGAATTTGATCAGTTTTAGCTTGTAAACCAACATATTCTTCTAATTGACGAATTTTCTCTTTATATCGATTATTTTGATCTTCTTGACGACTTTGACAAATTTCATCAGCATGTTTCGAATATTCAGTAAAATTACTTCGACGACGTTGTAAATCCTCTTGCTCAAATAATGAATCAGATATAATTGGTTCATTGGAAAGCAGTTTTTGTCTGAAAAGAAACGAATATATATATAGATATATTCTTTTAGTTATTATTAAGACATCAGATTACTTGAGAAACGGTTTTAAATCCAATGATGTTAAAATAATTTTAGGTTTTCTTGGTGGTGGTTCGTCTAGAAGAGGTTCATCAATTTGTGGTGATGATGAAAGAGATGGTGAAATTAGTTCCGTTTGTTTGGAAACTTCTTCTTTAATGGATCCTTTTTTCGTCAATGAAGAACTTCTCTTCGTTGTGGGAGTTTGTTTGATCATTTGTTGTTGTTCTATAATTGAAGAATTAATTGTACTGGTTGTTTCTTCATCAGTACGAATTTCTGAAACATTTGTTATATCATCAGTTGTTTCAAATCCTGAAACTTCATCAACTTTTGATTGTAAAGAATCAAGAAATTTTTGTCTTGTTTCCAATGCTTTGTCAGCTCGACCAACTTGTAATGTTTCCCATGCTTTTTTTATATTCATTAATTCTTCATTTCGTTCAGTGTCTTTTTTAATTGTTAATTCATCCTTGACAAAAACAAAAAAAACACATTAGCTTCTTTTCTATTTATAATTTCGATTTTCGTACAGCTTTATCTGCATCAGATATTATTTGTAATATCCAATGGGGTTTACTTGTATCAATCGTTTTTTCTGTACTCTCTTTTAACGATTTCGGTCGACTTAATGATACTATACTACTTCTACCACTTCCAGTAGTAGTACTTTTTGTTCTATTGCTTCCTGTCGATACAGTAGAATTTGTTTGTCCTATTCGTTTGCTACTTGTTGAACCGCTAATTGGTCGATCGGCTTTAGTCGCTGATAATTGTCGATTAAAAACTATTTTATTAATGAATTGATAATGTGATTGAAAACTAAAAATGAAATATTTTTTTTCCTAACCTTTCAATTCATTTTTTTCTTGTTCTTTAAGTTGTTCAACAAATTGCCATTGATTTGCTGTTAATGGCCATGATTTACGAAGAAGCGTTACTTGAATAATATATTTATGTAACTAAAAAGAAGTCATTTAAATGATGATTTACTGATGTCCTTACTTTTTCTTCTTCGTCTACAATTGTTAATCCTACTCGACTACTTGATCTCTAAAATAAAAATTTTTCGTAATATTTGTTTTAACGAAAACATTATTTAGCAATAAATTAAATTTACACTTCTCATTCCATTTCCAGTTCTATCTTTGTCTGATCGGACACTATTAATTGGTGTTAAATCAGCAACATTTCCTTGATAAGTATTATTTAAGTCTTTTTTACGTGATCCTAAACTGACAAAAATAATGAATGAGTTATACTCATTAAAAAGCTTCAACCTCCTATCGTTTTTGATGTTGACTTTACTAATAGTTGTGGTTGTGGTTGTATTACATTTGTAATTGCACGCATAAAAAGTACTGCAGGTAAAATAAGACATCCTTTTCCTTCTACACTAACTATTTCTTCATCATTATCAAAGACTGTTAAACGCATTAAAACATCAGATTTTGATGTACTAAAATGAATACTAGCTAAATGATAATTTAAACCAGCTTGATTAATATTATCAGAAGTAATAATGCGATATCTAAAGAAGAGAAGAACTAATTAATTTATATTGATTTTAATTAAAATAAATGTTTAACCTGCATATAATTTGTTCTTTATTCGGAATATAATAATCGCTAATTTCTTTTGTAATAAATGATGATATTATTGGATCAGTACGTATTTCAGGTAACTGTGCATATGATGTTGTTAAACGAAGACGAAAACGATCACTTGGTATTGATTGATCAAGTGACATGCCTTCAGCAAAAAATGTATAACCATTCTATTAATTCGAAAGGAAAAACGATTTATGAATTTATTTCTTTTTGGTAAAAGAAAAGCAATTTACTTTATTTTTAGCAAATATTCCTGGTCGTAAACGATTGAACACTAATGACATTTCATCATATGTATCATTATTAACTACACGTAAAAGTGTATTTGGTAAATGTGAAAGAAATTTAGCAGCAATTAAACTTTCTTCATTAATATAAATAATTTCTCTAAAATAAAACCCACATCATTTTTTTTTTCTTTTAAGATAAAACAAATAGACTGATTTTTCTCTACCGAAATAAAACAAACCACTTATTAGCTGGTTGTTCTTGATATATTCCATTATAATCTCGATATGTGACCATATTCCAATCATCATTACGAAATGTAAAAGATTGAATTAATTCTGGTTTGATTGATATGAAATTTCTTATATGAGAAAATTGAAAGTTGGATCGAAATTGAAATGAAAAAAAAAAACAAATTACTTAAAAAGAAGTAAAGTTGATTTATTTTGATCAGCTTTGAGTAAAGACATGCTTGATTGTAATATTTGTTGAATAAATAAATTTTTTTCTGTACCAGATGTACGAGCAAGCGCAATACGACGTTGTAAAAAACCTCGAATACTTTTTTGAATATTTATTATAGATTCTAGTTCGTTTACACTAAAGACATGACTTAATAGATCAGATAATGGTTCTTCTAAAATTCTCAAAGTTAAATTTGATCATTTATTAAATTTGAAAATTACCTTGTATATCTGATGTTGATGATGAATTCGTCGATGAAAATTGTTGTTTTAAACTAGATCTATCATCATTATTTTTCTCTCTTGCTCCAATACCTTTTTTACTTGTACTAGGTGTTCCTATGATTGCAGAAGAACTTCCAGCAGTTCGTGCTGAGTGACGACTGAGACTTCTAACAACTAGAGAAAATATTTTTAAGACAATATATATCTTTTTCTCATTATTCTTAGAATGTGAATTAGACTTATCATACAGCTACATTTAAAAGTTCGTCTCCACTATTACATATAAATTTGAAATATCTTAGTACTATATTGCAATCCGTTTAGTTACTAATGACCTTCTTGTTATATACTAAATGAAACAGAGACAAAAATAATTATTTTAATTTCTATTTCCACCTCGACAAAATCAATTTTACTTTGTTCATCTTTAATTAGCATGCATTAAAACTAAACTCTGACTTTTTCTTTCGAACGATCAGTTCAAATTCGAGAACGATTCCATCAATTCTGACAGCATTGAGGATTTAGACGTAGTTACTGAAGTGTTTCTTGAAGTATATTTGACAATTACGGAAGCACTATAATTTTCTGTCAAGTTCGAGTTCGATTTTGCCTGAATATCATTGACTTCTCTTAGAATATCTGTAACCTTTCAGTTTCGTTTTCATCATCTATTTTACTATATGTAGATCTCTCATAACTCACTATTAAATTCTGTCTATTGGCTTACATTTATCTCCCTTTAATAGTTATTAGAAAATAGTTGTAGCTAACGAAGGAAAGTCTTCAACTATGGCAAACCAATGGAACTGATATTTTACCCATAAATAAGTCTCTTACATATCAGAATTTTCTGCAAATGTCACCATAAAGGAACGTATTGATATCTCAAGAACGACATAGCCCTTTAACCTGAAATGTTGAGGACGACTTAACATCTACAAAACCTACTTATGGGCAAAATTTTACGTTGAAATTCCATATTTCGATTATTTCACCGATATCTTCCCTAAGATAGAAAAACTTCAGTGAAAATTGTAATAATATGGAAGAGACAGAACATGAAGACAAACTCGTATAGGCCTCTATTCATCTTGTTAAGGCCTACTTATAAGTAAAATATCGGTTCCATTGATGAGTCTCGCTTGCGCTTTTTCTCTTGTAAGATCATACTGCAAAATTCGCGTTCAATTTATACCTTGTTTGTAGACAATATAAAGTGCTATTAACCTTTAATTTTTCGAGAGTATACAGCATAGTCTTATTAATGCAAAGGATAAATCTTTACTTTCGTAATCTTTATTACATATTGCAACTATTAGTGTACTTTGTAGGAAAATCTCAAAAACTCAAATAACTTAGCTCTAAAATTTCTAAAAAAATCATCAAAGTCTCATCTATTATTCCAATATGTAATGCTAAAAGGGAATATTATAGAGAGTATCATCGTTAATCATGTAACTTTCGAATAATATCATACTTGGACGTTTTGCGTCATAAGCAGCCAAAATATCTGGTGTCGAAAGATCATTAGTAAAACATCGCCAAGCAAATTGTGTATCGACACTAATCCCTGATCCAGATGCAGCAAGAATTGTTCGTAAAGTTGAATACAATGCTTGATTAAATGTATTAAGACATGTTTGAATAGTAAGATCAAGTGTTTTTGGTGCATGTTCACAGTATAAACTAAAAAGATCAATTAATTTATTTTCTTGTTGACCAATCAAATGAAAATTTTGTATAGAATCATCTAATGCTAGAAATAATTCTTCAGCTCGTAGTATAAAATCAGCATCTTCCTAGAAAATAATAAATAAAAAAAAGAAATTGAAAAATGAATAGAAAACTTTTACGGGCACAGTAGCGATTTTATTTAATAATTGATCTTCATCAGCAAGCATAAAATCATTTGTATCAGATAATATTTGCACGTTACAAGCAAATGGACATGTATTAGTAAGTTTTAATACATGACGACTATAATTTTATGAAAATTAATTTACAAAAAAAGAAATTTGATATAGGAAATTTTTACCCAGGTGATAATGTCAATAAAGCAGCTTTTGTTGCTGTTGTATGAAGACGAAGAATAGGTTGTCCCATTGTAAGTGATTTCCAGGAATACAATTCAGCTATAAGTGAACCTACTTGTGGTACAATCTCTTTTTGTGACACTAAAAAAATAAATATTTTCATATACTGATGTTTGTAAAGAATGATCCATAAAGAATTGAATTGTTAATATTTTTGAAAAAAAATTTTTCTAATATTTATTTGATTGAAAGATTGAATATGAAATTCTTGACAGAGTTGTATAGGATTCGATTGAAAAATTGGTTCGAACATCGTTGCAAAAAAGTAAGAGAATATCAACAGTTCTAAACATTTAATATGATAATCGTGATGGACCAGCTAAAATTTATTCAGATTTAATTTGCGTTGCTTCATTATAAACATACGATTTTTAAGTTCAAAACATTCAACAACGCTAACTTATTGTTACAGAGATACGATACTTCTATAGTATTTTTTAAAATAATGCCGTAGTTCAGAAAAACTAATTTTCGAATTTCGATTTGAAACTGCAGAGATAGGCGTTGATTGGAATAGTTTTTTTGAAAATATTTACGATTTTATTGCTGTTCCTATACTAAGATCTAACTGGGGTACTAGCCTATCTTTTACATCACTCGTATAAACCAACAAATTTGATGTTCTTATTTCAGGATAGAAGCCAATCAAAAAAACCTACAACTATTCTCGTTAAGATCTGTCTCTATGAAAAGTTTCAAGTCAAAATTCGGAGATCAGTTTTTCTCGTTCCCAGCATTTATTTAAAAAATACCATCACAGTTTACTATATTCGCAGCAGTAAGATAAGGATGCGAGCTCTTATCAGGATATTCATAGTTCATTTGGATCTACATAATGCAGATAGCCTCGATTCAAAGGCAATCGAACAGGTAGAGGATTTCCTCTAGCCGGACGAAATAGCTATTAACAACAAAATTGCCTGTTGAAACTACCAGTATACAGCTTATATTGCATAAAAATGTTGACTGCTTTTTACACAAGAATGTCAAGAAGAGCGACAGATCTAAGATTCAGTTAAATATAGGGTCAATATCAATCAACAGTAAGTATTTTGAAGTCTAAAATAGGTAGTATCGAATCATTTTTAGGCATTTTTCACTAAGAAAAATTGAAAGAAAAATTCTCGGAAGGAAGCAAATGACACCTTGTGCTCTCCCTTTCTAAATCTGTCACTGGTCAAAGAACTAAGTATAACATCTTTTCACAATAAGCGAGAGCTCATTTTAAAACCTAGATATCAACACAATGTTGCTACACTTTATAAGAATCAAGTCAATCAAAAGTAGTACCCGGACTAAATATGTGTGGGACCAACTTTTCGTAGTCCTGGTTTTAGTTATGACATTCAGAAAACTATTTCTGAGATCATTCGCATTACATCTAAAATAAATAGTCTTAAATATTCGTGTTTTAATAAACTCAGTCGACAAACATAACTTTTTTCGGTCACCTCTACCGAAATTTGCATTGATTGGTATGGCTTATAGCATAATTCACTCAAAATCTTAAAAATGTGTGCCTATCATTTTTAGTCCCGGTTCAAACAACTTGTTTTCTTGTAACTATAGTTTCGATAAATTTTCAGTTTTTTCTTGGTTCCGTATATCTCTGACACTGAATAATCAATCATTCGTTGCTAACTTTTATCTGATTCATATACTCGTTATCATAATTTATACAACGAACTGACTGAAGCTATGAAGTGAAATAGCATTAAAAAAGAACGATTATCAATAAACGAAATTAAATGGACCGATAAAAAAAAGGTGAAAAAAACTTGTACATTCAATGTCTCATTCAAAAAATCGATGAGCTTATATTCCTGAAATAGAATATACTATTCTATGGAGAATTTCAATAACAATCTTTTGATTAAAACCCATGGTTCAATGCAATTAAAAATAGACGAGAATTTTTGAAAATACTAATATTACAATTCTTTATGAGTCAGCTGGTATTGTTTCGCTGTTAATAACCTGTGTTTCTTGTTGGATTACCATCAGTTAGAGTTTTTTCAGTGTAAATATTTATATTACGAAAACTTTTTTCATTTAATCCAATAAATTCCGGTAGTAAAGTATCATACCATCGTGATAAACATGTTAAACTAATAATTAACTGAATATTTTTATCTAATGTTTCACGTGTACTATCGACAAATAAATATAATGAAGGTTTATCATCTTGTAGATTCTATTCAAATTGAAATATAACATATATAATAACAGAAAAATATTTTACTGATATTTGAGGGATTGATTGATTAGACTCTTTTTTCTTTTCTTTTAGAGAAGTAACAACTGGCTAAAAAAAAATGAGCTCACAAATGAAACAATCAATTTTCAAATATTTTAAATATTACTTGCTGATATGGAATAAACTGAAATAATCAATTTATACTAATCAATTAATAGAGAAATATAGTTTTGCTTACTTTTATTTCTGTATGTTTACGTGCATAGTGATAACCACGAGGATTATGAAAAACAATAATTGAACTAAAATATTTAAGAGAAAAAGATAACCAATTAATTAAAGAAAAAAAGATTATATTCAACTGACGTAAAACAAGCACAAAAGTCATTAAAATCCATCCATATTTTGGGTGTTATATATGATTTTTTTATTGCTTTTAGATTAGTTAATGGACAATTTTGTTGTTCATGATTATTTCCTATTGCGTGTACATCAATTGGTATTGTAAGTTGCTCATTTTCACTACCTAAAATTTCATTGAAGAAATTCTATAATTTGTTTTGTGAAACTCATATAATAATCTCTTTGGAACAAAAAATTTAATAAGGGTAAGTTTTAAATCGAGGTTTAATAGCTCTTTCATAATAACCAAGGACAACAGGCATAGGGTTTCTTTTCCAGAGCTCCTTCGCAACGAAAAACATGCTGAACGACATTAACAAAAATACTTAAATCATTCTAGAATATTTCAAAAATCTTCCTTGACATTCGAGTGACTGAAATACGTTTGTGAATATTTGATACAGTACAGTTTGTTTTTTAAATTTTTGCACAGATAAAAATTTATATTTAAGACGTCAAGGATGATGGGCCATAATCCATTAATTTACCACAGTCAATATGAAAAAATGTGAATTGATCAAGTTATAACTCTGGAAAATAATCAACATAAGTGTTTCTGAGTTTATTAAGATAAATAATAGTGCATTGAGACCTGCTATACATGTAATGGATACGTACAGTAAGTTAATTTGATAGTTAAATCAATGGTTAGAGTAATAATGTTAAACTACCTCATGGTTACGGGATCTGCATATATACGAGCTGAACTTTTATGCAGATTATAATTTTTACAATCTTCTCATTTTCTTCGGTCATACGGAATAAATAAGACAAATCAGCTCTCTGGTAATTTATTATTGTTGGAAAACAATTATACTAGAAATGTTTCTTTTACTCTATGTATTTTGTATTAGTATAATGAGATTAAATAATCCGCATGAATTCTACACTTTAGTCCCAAATGGATTCAGCTGACAAATATGTCTGCTTAATTCTAACCTTTGCTTTTCATTGATATAGTATCAGATGATATTTTTGTACCACTTGCAGCAGATTTTCGAGGAGTCTATTTGTATAGTAAATTGATTTATTCTTGAAAATAGTTTGTATATTTACTTTAGTTCTATCGATTGACATTTCACATTTTGGCTTGCATCCTGTACTACGTAATGAATCATCAGATTTTTCTTGAATACTAATTACATGTGACTAGAAGAATTGATAATTTCTTGTATTTTTTAATTAAAATTTGTAAAACAAAAATATTTGCCTGTTTTCTTATTGATGTTGACTTTATATTTGTAGTACTTTGAACGAAATCGACGATCAATTCGGGTTTTTGTTTTCCGTTCTCAATATCTTCATTTTCATCTATTTCAATAATATTTGATTGATCAGATACAGTTAAATGTTTCGCTAAACGATTAAAACGTGAAGATGAATTGACAATGCTATAGAACAATCAATATTCATCATTTCTAAAGATGAAATAAAAAAAACTCCTTACGTAACATTACTATCAATCGGATGAGATCGAATTGTTGGTTTTCTATATGAGAGATAAATGTGAAAATAACATTAAAAGATGAAAAGTATAAATTTACATATTAAGAGCACTTGCTATTGGATAATTTATATAAGGTGACGTAATTTCAATCCAACGTTCAGGTTTAGATTCATGCGGAGCTAAAAGAAAAATTTTAATTTTTTCAAAAAAATTAACTTTTAAACATCATATTCACTTATAGGTTCAGCATGAGGTAATATTATAGGTTTCTTTGGTCGAATAAGTTTCCAAGGAGGTACATATTCCGGTGGCGGCGGTGGTTCTAATGGAATATCTCGAATAGACGTGAGTAGTACTGATGTTGAAAATGTATCATTTAAATTATAATGTCTTAATCGTTCACTTCTATCAGCTGTTTCACTATATGAACTCATACGAGTTGGTTGTAAGTGAGGTGTGGCAGCAAAAACAATCATTTTCGGCGCTTCAGGAATCATTTGATCATCGATAAAAAATCCAGAATCTTCTATTGGACCACCACGACCTGTTCCGATTATTTTTTTTGTATCATTTGCAGTTTTAAGGTTTGGACTACCAGCTGAAACAAGACTTATTATATTGAACTGATTAAAAGATCTTACTTGTTCGATTTTCTTTGGTATTAATCGATTTAATTATTGTCGGATCTTTCGGAGCAATCTGGCTAAGAGATGATTCTCGTTTTTTTAAATGTTTATCCTCTGGTTTTTTATCATCGAAATGTTCTGATGTATCCTTGTTTTTTTTTGTGAATGAAAAAATGTATAGAGACCATTTACAAAAAAAAAAACAAATAAACTAATTTACATTTACATTCATTAATATTGTTTCTTCATGTAGATAAACTTTTGAGTCAGGCCATTTAAATACTGGTATAGGTCCAAAAGATGATGTATTTTTATTTATTCCATTCTCATTTTCAGCAATGTATTGATTAGAACGATCGTAACGAAGAAAGTCCCATACTTTTTCAGCATGAGTATATCTATTGATAGATAATCTTATTTTCATTCCTTTTTTTTCTTTAGATTATTTTTTGTTACTTGAGAGGAATAGGTTCTGGTATCCAACCAGTAAGTGAATGAATAACTGAGGTCTCATTGGATTCAGAAAAATCATTCGACGTATTGAAACTATTATTAAGGAAAAGAAGTCATTTTTTTTTAAAGATGAAAAAACACTAATGATGATTTTTCTGTTTACTCAAGAGAAATTATTTTTAATAAAGCTTTTGATAAAAGCATTGGCCAAAGTTCATATGATAATGATGTTTGCGGTAGAAGACATCGATTTTCAGAATCAAATGGAATAGTATCATCAATGATAATCTTACGCCAAGTACCCTGATTATAAAATTAAAAAAAAAACACCTAATACTTCAAGTATTTTCTTAGAATACAAACCAGGAAGAAAAGTCGAACAATATATTTGCCAGAAGTATTGTATGGAGTAATAAACGGTTGTTTAGATACTTTATTCAATGCGTATATATGTTCCTAATGTAAAGAAAAAAAACAAACGAATTATTCATTGAATGAAGATAGGAACAAACCCAAGGACGCCATGTTCGTTCACTTGTATTAAATTCATTAATATTATGTGTTGTTGTATTAATATTTTTTCGTTCTTTCCGACAAATATCCCATAGAGCTGTAATTTCACTAATAATTTTTCGCATTGTCTTTATTAAAAAAAATATAATTGAATTGAAGAAAAAAAAATTGTTCTATTAAATTTTACTTCACTATGATGTAAATGTTCATTTGGTGTAACTAAATCAAAATTTTGAATGCCAACATCAGGATCAACAACTACTGGAGACTATTATGTATTCAATAAATTGTACTATTTACAACAGATTATTTTTTCTTACCTTATCGACTGCCAAAAACTCGATAGGTCTTTTCCATTGTTCTACTTTGAGTGATGGAGGAAGCTCAACTTTACCTTCAGGATCTTCAAAGCCATGCGCATACTTAAAACATGATTCATATATTTGATAGAACATTTAATGTGTTATTTTACCATTGCAACATTTGTTTTTAAATCAGGACGAGCTCTGACCACAGGCGTATCTTTCTTTTTTACATTTCCAGCATCCCATGGCTCAGCATTTATCTCTGCTTCATTCCATTCAGGCCATATTGGTGCAAAACGAAACCGTCTATTGTCGATTAATCTAAATAGTAAAAATGAAAGCCAATTAAACAAAACAAAAAAGTTTCGACAACAATAAATAAAAACCTTGATCTTCGTCTATTCAGTAAACGATTATCATCGATAATTTTTGATGATACAATAGAACTCATTTATAATATTTTTTTGCTTCTTTTGAGAATTGAAATAAATTCATTTTACATATTTAACTTTTAAAATGACAACTTTTGTTTTTATTACTACCATTTTTATTGAGATAGATAAGACGATATCCTTAAATATCACATCAATTTTGACATTAACATTGAGAATAGAGGGCACTGCTCAACATAATAAATACCTTAATTCAATACACTAAAAGAATCTATTTGATTTCGTGACTGTATATAATCACTGTTTATTTAATAAAATCGACTTTTGCAGTGACTCAAGTCACCAATCTCAGCGTTTGGATCCGTAAATTCTGACGAGAACCTGTCGGAAAGATCCCGTTTCCAGCTGAAACTTGATGGTCTGATTTTTCTAGTTCTGGTCGTAACCGAACAGATCCAGACTCGTATCTCTTGACCTGGGGATACGTGGAGAATATTACCAATTAGGTTCTAAAGATGATGAAGAAAGTCAGTAACGATTTCTTTTTCAAACAAAGCATCCCTTGTAATAAGAAAATCAAGTTTTTTTTTATAAATACAAACCTATCTGTCGAATCAGAACTTGACGATAATCGATCATTCCTAACTGATGAATTTTGTCTTGATAGTCGTCTATCACTATGACATGTAAATTTTGATGTGTAATGAATTAATTTAGTCACCGCTGAATAATGTTGCATAGTTTGACTATGTACTATATTCAATGTTGATGTTTCTTGTCTCCTTCTTTCACATAGAAACAAGTTAAAATCAAGAATGAAACATAAAGAAGAAAAACTTTCATTAATAAGATTTGATTACCTGTGATAACAGTAGGGAGTACATGGTTGCCTGTGGCGCTTATGGAATTACACATACACTTATATTTCAATTAGTTTTTTCATCGTCTTATCAAGAAAAATTATCTAAATATTTTTTTTCTGATAGTTAGAAAACACACAAGATATTATTTAATGAAAATCAAAAAAAATTATACTTAAATATGAGAGAAAATAATATGTTTGACTTGTATTTTTATTATTATAGAACAGTACGAATAATTTTTTCTCACTAGGTTTATATTTCTGATGAGCAACTTGAAATACTAATTTTATTTAACAAATGTCGACGATTTTATTAATCAGGAAATATAAGATTTCATTGATTGATGAAGAATATTAATTATATTTGCTTTAAATATTATCAAATACTTTTTAATCATTGTTTTTCAAGAATTGTGAAGTTCCACAGATGTCATTACGATTACCAATAACTGTGAAATTATCAAACCTTAGCATTCATAAACATGGTTTCATCGCTTGTAATGCGGACAAGTATGAAAACGAAGATTCTATTAGTTTAAACAGTACTTGGCAAAGCCACAGATATTAATGTGATATGTTTTAATTTTTTTAATATTATCTGAAAAAGGCTATCTTGTGTTTCTGTATTAATACATTCCATCAGAAACATTCTCCTCATCCAAAGCTAATAATATTAATGTCAATATTAATGTTTATATGGTGCCATTCATCTGCTAAGGTTTTACTTTTCACGAATCTTATTTTGCTCGATTAATTTTATTTTCATGCTGAAAATCCTCGAACGAAATCGTTGCACTCATTACACTATGCATATAATAAAAAATATTTTCAAATACGTGTCACACAACAGAATTGACTAAATGAAAACTTTTTAATTATTCCTTAATCCTACAAATAATAAAAATAATAATAATAAACCATATAAGTGTAACAATTCTACGAAGTATCTACTTGATTACAAGAAACTACTGCACCTATTACAAGTATCACAATAAAGTGGAAGTCAAAAGTTTCGATAAATAGTTCTTGCAATTATGTTTATGGTTTATTTATCTGGATTACGCAAGAATAATTTTTAACATCATTACTCCATGATAATCTATTTTTGGTGATGTATAACTACCAGTAAATATTCCAAGATCTTCTCGAGCCCATAAATCACGAACAATAGCTGAACGATCAACAGGAAAACCAATATCACTCCATTTAACTGTCATTGATTCACTTCCGAAATTACCACGATTAAGTAAAACTACAGCTTGTGAACCATCTGAAAGTGGACCTGCCCATACTTCAAGTTCTGCTTTTGATGTTAAACATGCACCATTATGTTTACTTTGAACAGTTCCATTAGCTGAATTCCATATCCATGCTTGATTATCTTGTTTATTACATGAAAATGCATCTACATTTGGACCATCAAAATTAAACACATCCAAACTAAATAATACATTTGTGATTGTTCAATTAATCTAATTACAAATTCCATTAAAAACTTACCATTTTCCATTCATTTGAGATATAATACTTTGATTTGCTGTATTAAATGTCCATTGTTGATTTTTTCCTTGACATTGTGCTTGTGGATCATTAATATGACATTCACTTAATACAATATTTGCAGCTTCGGTTGTACTACAACTTTCGATTGATACACATTGTCCATTAAACATTGATCGAATCGATCCATCTTGAGAATTATATGTCCATTGTAAACGTTTCGGTTGAATATTTGATGAAAATGATGAACAATTAGCAACAATTACATCACTTGATGTATTAGGTAATTGTGATGATGCAAAAGCAACTTTCTTTCCTTGAACACCTAATGGATCTTGATTGATAGCAATTACTTCAGGATTTGTAAGAGTTGATAAAGTCGCTGCACTCATTTTACTAACATCACATCCGATGAGAAGTGGTGCTTTACTAATAGACCATAGTGAAAAGTGTGTAACATATTCAGAATCAGTCATTCCACCATTTCCGACTTCAAGCACTGAATAAATATTAAAGAATTTAGATAGAGATTAATAAATAAATAGATTGTCACTTACTATCAGGATCATTCCAACCACCAGGTCCGGCTTTGTCTGCAAATTCATTATTCTAAATATTGAAAAGAAAGAAGAAATATATAAAAATTCAGAAAGTGAATAATAATCATACAATATCAATGTTGTCCAACATTGATTTCCAATTATCTCCTATATCTCCTGTTGTTCTCCAACTATTACCAACATTTGCTGCCCATAATGCTGGTTTATCAACACCCCATTCTGTGTACAAAAGTATATATAAAAAAAAAGGAGAAAAAATATAGAAATTGAGAACATACCACACATGGAGTAGAAGATAGGTCTTCCACTAGCATTTAATGCATCTCGCATAACGGGATATCTGACTTCTGGAATAGTTCCATCAGAATTACAATTATCATATTTCAAATAGTCGACATTCCATGAAGCATATGTATTGGCATCTTTTGTCTCATAGTGCAGTGAACCAGGTCGTCCAGCACATGTTTTAAATCCGGCATCTAGTATAGGAAAGACAATGGCGTCGTTATATTTATATATATACATAAGTATCATGCTGTAGCAATAATACCTGAATAGAGGCCGAATTTAAGTTTTCTCGAATGAACATAATCAACCAAAGCTGATATACCACTTGGAAATGCTTTTGGATCTGCTTGAATAGTACCTTGTGAATCTCGACTTACTTGCCAACAATCATCCATGTTCACTATAGATAAATTAGATACAATTGAGATATTCATTATGAAACATTTAAAAAGAAAAGAGACCATATTGATATCCAGCAGCAGCAAGACCTGTTACTACAATTATGTCTGCTGTTTGTTGAATCAGTTTTTCATTGATATTACATCCAAAATGATTCCAACTATTCCATCCTTTAATGAAAAAAGCCCTGCAGTTATACATAGAATAGCAAACATGTCGTACCCATTTGGGGTGTTCGACCAAGACCATTGTTAAGCTGATGCGAAATATGAATAAAAAATAGTGAAAGAAATATTTTCAAGACTACCATGTTGTTTTGCCAGACATGCACAATATCAAAAAGACAGGCTTAACAAAAAAAACCTCGTTTTTTATCTTTGATTTTCGTCGAGAGAAAGAATGCAGATGGTCATGAATGAGTGAGAAAAGAGTCTGTGGAAGGCGATAATCGACTTTATGTTAACACATGGCAAATTGTCTTTTATTCTCACAAATTACGCTAATCAAAAAAATTATAAATATTATATGAGAATATACCAGTAACGTTAAAAGAACCATACTTGACATAGAAAACCAAAATAGGATATTATAGTGATTTATGCAACTATGAAAGCGAAAAAAATGCAACATTTTCCGTCCAAAGCAACCTTTCATTTCTGTTGGAACTATTACTATTGAAAGTCTAAAAAAAAGTTCAATACTGCTTGATGGGTAGGGAGCTTTTCAAGACTGGTACAATTGCATTCGCTTCATGATATAATTATGATATCGGGAGCACATGTTTCTCTCTCTCGAAAAAAAATATTTATATCGAATCATATCAAAACGAGAGACAATTAGGTTAACAATATTCGTAAGAATTCTCAAAACTTTACACCATTACAAAATCAATTGTTTTCTTATCTTTAATACATAAACATGGTTATTTCATGCATTGGCAATCGTATCCTGTTCTCATCTTACTCGTGAACAAATCTGATATAATTACCGATCTTTCTACGTGTACATTTCACGAACATTCAATAGCAAATTAAATACCAGGTATGAACAAAGTCGACGAACATTACTCATTTCATCTTATATCGTCTCTAGAACTCACATATATGAAAAACCGTTTCATACAAAAGCATTCGTAAGATATGTTGGATTCAGGCAAAAGAAAATGTCTTAGAAGATGTCACGCATAATCCTTACGAAATAGATAACAACGGCATAGATACATAGATATTCATGAAAGAAATCACATTCATATTTATTAGATTCAATCACATTTCTTTCTCAATACACATGCATACAAAAAAAATGAATCTTACACTAAGCTAAACCATAACTTCATTTATAATTTCTTTTTACGTCTATTTTGTGAGAGTAATTTTTAACATCATCACTGCACGATGATCTATTTTTGGTGATGTATAACTACCAGTAAATGTGCCTAGATCTTTTCGAGCCCATAAATCACGAACAATAGCTGAACGATCAACAGGAAAACCAATATCACTCCATTTAACTGTCATTGATTCATTTCCAAAATTACGCCTATTAAATAAAACTACAGCTTGTGAACCATCTGAAAGTGGACCTGCCCATACTTCAAGTTCTGCTTTTGATGTTAAACATGCACCATTATGTTTACTTTGAACAGTTCCATTAGCTGAATTCCATATCCATGCTTGATTATCTTGTTTATTACATGAAAATGCATCTACATTTGGACCATCAAAATTAAATACATCCAAACTAAATAATACACTTGTGATTGTTCAATTAATCTAATTAAAAATTGCATTAAAAACTTACCATTTTCCATTCATTTGAGATATAATACTTTGATTTGCTGTATTAAATGTCCATTGTTGATTTTTTCCTTGACATTGTGNCATATATAAATCGACTCAGTTTTTAACGCTGATTCCGAATCTGATATTAGTTTTGAACCAAATCGTAGCTTTCTAACAAAACATCCCATGAAAAATGTCTCAAAATGCAGAAAAACTGCATGCAAAAAGCAAATAGGCTAAATATGGCTCAGTTGATAGAAAACAGTGAATATATCTCTTCACTTTTCGCAGTACACATGACACTCGGATTTAAATCCGAGGTTTTCGCATTTATTTTTCAATAATTACTCTACAGTCTTTTAGAACATGATCAGATTTCGACAGTACTTGTTTCGCAAAATTGCTTAAAATATGGTTCTAATGCAGAATATGGTTAGTGTGTTTTTGTCAAATTCGACTATCAGTAAAATTATTTTAATTCTGACTCCTGTAAATGCAGACATTTTATCTAAAGTATATTGAATAAAAAACTTAAATGAATATGAGACCAAACCGTTAAAAAATTTAATTCCTTGAATTGCTAAGAAGCTATTCATGTCTTTTTTTTCGTTCGGATTTTTGGAGCGCTCTGAATTCAAGTGGAAAAGAGAATACATAAAAAGAATCAGTAAGATCTATTCATACAGAAAACACAAGAGAACTATGAATCAATATTTACGTGTAGTCGAATATGAGAAATGCGAAAATGACGAACTCAAAATGAGTGTTCAACTGCATGCAGTGATTAACACTTAACAATTTCATTATAGCATACGGATATATGAATAAATCATATTGCTCTATGAACAAACCTGTCACACTTTTGATAATGAACGAAGTTTAAAATATCATGATAATCGATCAATATGGGAAGCATCTACTCTTACATAAGCGATATCACCAATATATCATCACATATGTTATTCTATGTGTTCATATTCATATCCTTAAACGATGTTGTCATCATTATCATTATTCATTAAATTGTTTGACACGAAAACAAAACAATAACATCATTGCTCTTCACATAACTTAAATGGAAGAAACAGTTATTCAATCCTATGATTCATTCATCTTCATTTTATGCACAAATTGAAAAACATCAATTGAAATTTTTAACATTGTTTAGCAATAAATTTTTTCTTCTTTGAACAATTAACAAAGAACATAATTATGTAATCAAATCAATATTTTCGAAGTGAACATTAACCGTTACTTTTGCAATAGTAATATAACAAAGAAAAAAAAAATTTCAGAAAAAAACAAATTTTCATTTTATTTATTTTTTTCTACCATCAAACAATTTTCATCACAAAAAAAAAACAAAAATAAATTAACTTATTTAAGTCTCCTCATCGAATATTCTTCTTCTTCTTCTTCTACTCTTTTCACATTTTTCGTTGCAACTACAATAATTAACAGAGCAAAGAAAAAAAGAGACAAAAACAAAAAGATTAACGTTAACAATGAATAATACAAATAAAACATCGTTCAGATTTAGATAAACAGAGAAAAGGAGAAAAATTTCAATAGAGCACGAAACACACACCAAGAAAAAAAAATAATAAGAATAATTCTTTTCAAAAGACATGGCTTTGTTTTTCAATAATTAGATTCAAAAACAACAAAAACAAAAAAAATTTTCTTTTTTATTCAAGATCGGAATCGGCCGATGATGATTCATCATGTATTGATCGTTGCCAAGTTTTAAGACGCTGCTCAAGTATTGTCTGCCATGCACATTGTAAACATTTACTTGGATAACGGATTTTATATGGAATATTCGGTTTATTCGATACAAATATCAAAGCATCTTCACCTATTCAATAATTTCAATAAAGAAAAAAATAATGAATTTAAAAAAAAAAAAAACTACATACGTTCATTACTAGATCGAAAATCGACAATCTCAGTCAACGGAATTGCATCACAAACAAGTGTTAAACGTGTATCAATTGCATTACGCTGTGTAAATAAAAGCATATCATTTAAAAGTATAGCCCATGTCTAAAATACAATGAAAAATACAATTTTTTTTTTCATATCAAATAAATAATAAAGATAGAAAAGCCAATAGAGCTATTCAACTGCCTAAGTCAAATAATCAGACTGTAAAATCTTACACTAACGAAAGAACATCTCTTAAGTTTTCCGGTCTTTGCTTCTTGACTTATGAACGTTTTATTTGATTTTTGTTCTACAAGAACATAATCACTGAGAGTATGAACGATAGAGTTTCGTGTACAGATGAGCCTTATAGACACTATTAATATCGAAAGCACGATATTTCTATGACAAGTTGATATTTCGATAAGAATACGTTTGTCCTAGTTCAAATTTTCATAAGAATTTCCATTGACAATACAATCTGTCTATGCACAAAATTCTATTATCCAAATGTTTAGTCATCCTCTGCTCATACCTTCAAAATTGAGTAAAACTAAACCAAAACACAATTTTCTACTAATCACTATAATCAACCGAATGTTAGTAGTATGAAGCGAAAAACAATTGGACAATCGGGAGTGTTCCCTAGTAAGTCGTATTTGAAAGACCTTACTATCTTTTAAAATATCACTAGAAGATTAAAAGAGATAGTAAGATCTAATAATTTCATTTGATCTGATTACTTATGAAACAACAGAAATGAACTGTTTCAAGTTACACGAAAAAAGAATTCTAATTCTAAAAAGTAAATTCTAATTTTCAGTTAAGTGTCTCATGCATTGAAAACTGTTATTTACCTCAATATAACTTTTATTTTCATTTTGTAACAAAAGTACACCCGAAAAAATCACATGTCGATTTCGACCAGTAAGAGTTACAGACTAGAAAAAAACAAAGTCAAACAATCAAAAATCTATATAACAAAAAAGACTTTGTTTTTCTTACTTGAATATTTTTTTTAAATTGAAGACGATTTTGTAAATCAATAATTTGCTCATCTTCTGATTGATTCATTAATGATGATGTTATTCCACTCGCACTGTTCAATGTCATTGTTGTTGTACAATGATGTTGACTTGTAGATGATTCATGATATAATGAACATTGACGTAATTCTATTTAAACAAAACAAAACAAAAATTGAAATTTAAGTTTTTTGAAATTTCGAATTTTTTACCTTTAAGAACATGTAAAAGATAATTTGCATCGTTTGCATTTTCACACGTACAACATAAAGTATCCAATTGATTTGCAAGATTATCAATATGATTAAGAGGAATTTGTAAAAACTGTTCAATTGAAAGATTTGAATTATTTCCATGAATAAATCTTTGAAAACTAGCACATTTAGTTAATTGTTTTAATTGTGAACAAGCATCGGAATAACCAGATATATAACGTGTAAATGCTTCACATATTAATTGAACTTTTTCATGAAATATTCGACCAATATGACTAATTATTGTTCGTTCAGATAATGATTGTAAACGATTTAATTGATAACGAGATATTGCTAAGATCTAAATTTTAAAAAATCAAAATAAGCAAAAAAAAATAAAAAATATTCAAATAAAAAAAAATGTTACTTTTTCAATATTTTGAAATAATTTTGCATGTTCATTTGATGATATTAAATAATGTTTTAATGGACGAGAATATAATTGTACACCAAGTTCGAGTTGACAAATAAATTCTTTTTCAATTTCAATTAAATGTAATGCTTCACGTTCATATGTTTCAGAAATAATTTCCTAAAAAAAGAAAATAAAAATTTATTTCATTAGTAATTAATATTAATGATCTATAATACCAATCGATGTTCACCATCGGAATATGGATTACTTTCAGAACCAACACCTGATTCACTTCCATCACTTCGTTCAGATATTTTTCGATAAATTGGTGACATAAGTAATGATTGTTGTTCTTGTTTATTATTATTATTATTAAGAACAATTGTTTCAGGTAAAAGACAACTTGTTATTTCATCATAATTATTATATGGTTTATCAGATGAACAAAAAGCTCGATCAGCATATGTATCACTAAATGAATAACTATGATCAGATTTTTTTGAAAATATATTTGAATTTAATGGTTGATGTTGATCAATTGAATTCAAAACAATTTTATCAATTTTATTTGATGTTGATGAAATAGAACGACGGTATAATTGAACAGTTATTGGTAATGGTAAATTTCTATTGATGCAAAAAAAGACAATAAGTATTAAATTAATTCTTTATTTGAATAAAGATATAACTAACCTCATTAATTTATGAACAGCTTTAGCTTGTGTACGTGCAACATTAATATCATTAACTTGAAGAAGAATATCACCAGGTATTGGTCGACTACATGATGAACCAACACCAGATTTTACTTCACTAACTGTACAAGGACATCCAGAAGCAAAATGTATATCATCACGATCAAACACATCAACCTAAAAAAAAGATCAAAAGAAAAGTTTTATATTTTATAAAAATGACTATCAAGAGTAAGTTCCGGAGCCAAACTTCTTCACTAACATAAGAGGTAGGTTAACATTTTCTGGACTATTTTTTGTCTACTTGAATGTGTTAAGTAATTTTTATAGAATCAGAATTTTGTGCTCTTTTAGAATATGTGCTTAGAATTTTTCTGTGACCTTTGACTAATGAGGAATCTTGAAAAAAAACTTCACTCCTAGAATAGAAATCATCCTTAAGTATTATAAAAGCTTAGCACTTATTTGATGTCTACAGAAAGCAGACTTATCGTTAGAAAAAAATCAAATTTTCTACTTCTCTAGAAAATGTGTTCGCATCTTGTCAAGGTTTACTATGAGCTCAATAGTCAAAAATCATAGAGAAATTCAAAACATAAACTTTGAAAGAATATAGGATTCTGATTTTTATACACTACCGATGAGTTTCAATATGCGAAAAATAGTAAAATATTTTATATTTGACTGTTTTATTGATATGACTTGGATACACAACTCGAGGAAATTAGCAAAGATCTTCCAATTGATAGTACAGGAAATGTTCACAGGAATCATTAAGGAAAAAAACGATCACTACAGCAAAAAAAGGTTCTTTTCACCTTGTGAAAACTGTTCTCTTCCTGATACTCTCCAGATATTAAATGTTTCTCTTTAAGGGAAATTGATCTCTTCAATCTTCTCTTTGAGAACTTCCTTGAGATAGTATCAAACATTTTTCGCATTACGAAAAATGTTAATTTTGAAGTCGAATAGGACAAAATATAGCGCATATCATGAAACTTCTACCATCAATCAAATTACTATGAAAATCAAGAAAGAAAAACTAATCATATAATTATATGATTTGATTACAAGTTCTCAAGAATTTGTTTTTTTAATCTATAATCTTACATTTAATAAAATTCCATTCGTATGATTTCCTATAGATGAATGTGGTCGTCGTGGTTTTGTAGATTTTTTATTATGAGATGAGGATATTTCAACATTTAATGCCATTCGTTTATGTCGGCCAATTGATTCCGGTAATAGACAATACCATTTATATTTTGATGAAGTCTAAAACAAAAACAATCAATTGTTTACATTGTATATATCAAATTTAATTCGTTTTTTCACACTATGCCATTTTAATTAATTGATTTTCTTACCTTAGTACAATTAGTTGTTTTCAGAAAAGTCTTCATATTAAATGACATACATCCGATTAAGTCAATTCTAAAAAAAAAGAAAAGACGAATTTGTTTATATATATATGTATATACGAATGAGAATAGATCGATAATCGATAGGATAGATTTTTCTTTTTTCGTTTTTCTCTTCCCTCGATATTTATTCGTCGTCAGACTAGATATATCACTTGTGAACAGGAGAAAAGATAGGGAATCTTCTTACACATTTTTCCAAGGAAGAAAAAAACAAAGATTCGATTAGTATTTTCACACAAATAAAACTTGTTATAATAATGTTCGTTTGAAGAGAAAAAAGGTATCCTAACAACTTACTTATTGTTTGTGTCCGATTGATTATAAACAGAGATTGTCAAGCGTTTCGATGGTGTTGATAAATTGTTATTATTAAATGGTCTAAAGAACACGTATTATATATATATATATACGCATAAGATTATTCAATTGATTTTATTCTCTTTAATCTTACATAGAAAATTTTTCATCATATACAGGTGAATTAGTACCATAAATAACTTTTGAACATTGTTCAAATTGAAAAAATTTCACTTTAACGAATGTATTTAATAAATGATTATCCGGATGTACAAATGACAATTGTCTGGCTCGTATCACTAAAAAATAAACAAAAAATGAGCATATGGTTTTTTTCTTTTTTTGCTTCAATTAAGAAAACCTAATTTATCAACCTAACGAATTTTATAAACAAAACAACAACAAAAAAAAAAAAAAGAAAAAAGACAACTAACGAATAAATCTTTACCATGTAATGTTAAAATTGAATTTTTAGTGTGATCATCATTTGATATTGAATATGCAATACATAATGAACCTGGAACAGATAAAAATCATTGAAAATGAGTATGTTTTTTTTTTCTTTTCTTAATGAATAATATTTTACCTCGTTTAGCTGAAGATTGAGTTGATTCTTTTGGTAAAATAATTTTTTTCGATGGTGATATATTTCCATATGGTGCAAGACATTTAGTTTTTTTAACATAATCAACAAAATGTTCTGTTAATGAACGTTTATTCGAGGATGTTGATGTTATCACAAGTCGTTCATCACTCATGATGATTGAATAATAATTCTAGAAAAATAAAAAACAAAAAATCTAGTTTCTAAAACAGAAATCAACTAATGAAAATTTACCTCAATTAAAATGGCACTAATATCAGAATCGAATCCTGAAATATGAGACAATTACAATTGACTATGAATGATGAGAAAAGAGCAAAGGAAGTATATATATAATGTTTTTTTTTTCCTTTTTCTCTTTTCGATCAACCATAGGCAGCTGTATATTGCTCACCCAAGTGTCACGAAAAAAAAACAGGAGAACAAAGTTATCTCTTCTTATTCGATATGAATACTTTTGATATTCTAACCCCCTATTTGCCTGATTTAGCAGAGACATGTTATCTCCTACATCTCTGCTAATCATTAGAACAGACAGTCTGATTCATATATATACAAGCATGACGATTGTGATGATATATTTATATGATTTAGTCAACGGACACCATCGGTAGTGTTCGGAAAAGGTGAAGGGGCGGGCAAGAGGGATTAGGATTGCACAATAATCGGAAAATGGATTATATAATTGACTTAATCACTAGTTTAAAAAAATGAAAAATTGAAATGACATTTTCTTGTCATCAAATCAGGAAATGAAAGACGTTTTTTTTTTGGTTTGATCGATATTACGCAAGGATAAATTTCCTTCGTTTAAAAAGAAAAAAAAACTATTTGATGAATTCTAATTTAAGACGTTTGCATTTTGTACATAAGTTTATTTGATGATAAAACAAAACATGCCGAATCAACAGTTCCCGTTTTTTTCTTTTTTTTTTATATATAAACCGGTGAGAGAGAACAGATGACGCTGAGTATTCTTCAGAATAATCAAGTGAGACGCGCGCACGCGCGCCTGTATACAAAAAAAAAATCAAATTTTTATTAAATGATAATACTCAACGGTTAGTTCAATCGAACACTTACCTCAATGTAGTAGAAACAAGTGCACGATATATTTGATACATATCATTATTTAACGGAAATGAAAAATCTCCGGAAAAAGAGAAATCAAACGATTTTTAAAAACAGATCACTCCTACCAGTGATTAACATTATAATAATGATAATGTCAAATCTATTTTAAATATGAATTTTTTATTAATGATCTCAATTTTGAAATAAAAGAGAACCGAACATTTTCATTTACAGAAGTTTGTAAATAAGTAAATAGTAGACTGATCCTATTTCAGTTAGTGTGAAAAAAAAATGAAATGAAAATACTCTCTTACCACTTATTCGATGATGATCTTGTTGAGAGTCAATGATATTTAACTTGTAACAATGTCGTGACCAATATTGTTGTTCTAAAATATTGAAATAGTTTTCGAAAAACAATGTGCTATGTTAAGCCATTTTTCTCTTCACTAAACTATGAAAGATGAAAAAGCGACTGATGAGATTATCTCATCCAGGTTGAACAATCGAATTTTCGTTCTCATGCTCTTTTGTCGATTGGATTAGAGAAGGGAAAAAAAGGTCAAAAAAGGTGAGAATATAATTGTCATATAAACATATCGCTGTCATGTTTCAAGGTACTGATAGAAAAGACAAAATGAGCACGTAGAAAAATCATCGGTTTGAAAAACACACACACACACACATACACATACGACATGAGACAAGTTCAATGAAAATATTTGATTAAAAATACATATCAATTCGATTATGAACTCAATAGATGTTCATCAAAAGTTCGAAAGCGACACATAGAACAAACAACTAAATTTCATGCTTGTACAGTTAGGAAGTCAATATCAATTTTAATTGATAAAACAATAGAAAAGATTGTTCAAGCGAAAATTCAACGCAATACACAGGTGAACTGTTCTCAGCAATGAATTTGTTTGATGTTCATGTAATCATATTTAACGGATACTAAGTCATGATATCTAGCAGCTACTGTTCTTGCTCACAAGTAAACCTAAAGGCAACACCGCCACTATATAAAAAGAAAAGTCAAATACATAATATATACATATTAATGTTAAAGACAGAAGTTCAGGAAATTCTTATAAAAACATTCCACACGTTAATCTTTTAATAATGTTCCTTGCGATCAGTGGTGTGAGCCCTCTTTCTCAAATATTGAGTAATTTTCGTTTTTTTTTTTGCTTACCAGTTTCAGTAACAAGGATCGATCTTCCAATGTCATGAGCCCTACCTTCTCTACGGTCGGTCCTTACACTTACACAAGCAAAGTCAATACTCAGTATAATGATATTAGTGGCAACTACAAAACGCATTGCGTTTATATTGTTGCTTAATGTTTAAATATTCCAATTTCCCTATATATTATCATGTAGGCACTTCGGAGTAATATATTTATGAGCATAAAAGAAAAGTAGTCGACTTCTTGCCAACGTGAGAAGCCCTACTTTGTCAGAAGTCAACCTCACAAATTCATGAACTCTACAATCTCACTAGTCGACTCTTCAATCTTGGTGACCTCTGGGCATCGCTGTTAATAGCATAAATAAGAAAGGCTTGGTAGAAAACCTTTAATAAATAACTCACGATATTCTTCTCGTCGAAACATGATTTTTAAATATTGAAGCATTTGACTTGTTTGTTGATACATGTAAAATGCTCACATACACTTTTCCTTTATGGAAATGACTGACATGAATATATGTGTTTACATGTATTTTTATTGCTCAAAAGTGAAAAAAAAAAGTAGGAATTGTAATTTTTCTTTTCCCTCTCGTTAATTTGATAGCAGACGGGATGAGACATATATATCGTAAGTGTGTGTATCGAACAACATCCACTTGAATTAAGTATTAACAAGCAAATGTTGTTATTTTCTAGTAAGAAAATACATACACCGGAAAAATTCACACATCTGTGTCAAATACACAAACATTTTGTAGTTTCTTACTTTAGAAAATTTCTTTTTTTGAAGAATGGAATTTTATTTTACAAATATTTAATGTTATACATATATATATATATATTTGACTATGAACTGATGAGATTAATCTATATAGAAAAAAAATGTTTCTGATCCTAATATGATTACGCAATTAGATGCGCGGTTAGGAGCAGTAGGAGGTCATTTTTTTCGCCCTGAATATGATCATATTTTCTAAGGCAAGGCATTTTTTTTGTCGTAGATAAATAACACTTGATGAAAGAAGTTAATCCAAAAAAAGAAATATTACATATACTATCAATAATATTAGTTCGTCGATCTATCTATGTATATATTACAACATCAAAACCTTAGCTAGATACGTACTGTATGTTCTTCCACACGTTTAATCAATGTGTATATCGAAATAGACTTAATGATTAAGTGAAACAGATCGAACGAGCTTATAGAATAATAATGAATTATAATTTTCAATTCAAATAGATCGATAATTTTCGCACCTTGTCCTTTTTTTTGTTTTTCGTTGCCTGATGCCATCAGTAAACATGAATTCGTTTTTTCTCTTTTTTTTTTCATTAATCATCGAGTACTCATAGGATAGACTCTGTGATGATGTTTCAAGTGAAGATACTAACCTTTCAATTATATTCTCTTTTTGGAGACAACAATCATTGATGATGCAACCTCCTATTGAGTGAATTGGTATTTCGTTTGAAGTTTGTAGACTCTCAATCCAAAAGAGTAGGCGTATGTCACACGTATGTTATTTAGTTGCAAAAAAAGAAAACGGTTAACAATTACGATGTATTCAGAAAAAAGAAATTTTTTTGACCATTCAGCGGAATAAACAAAAACATAATTCTTGTCCTTGTAGATGCCCAACGGCTGTTCATTTTGTTGGATGAAATCTGCGCCTGATCTGGCGTCGTACATCGGATACTTGACCGCCCAGACACACATTCTCAAGAGAGATAGACAATGGAGAAGCTGTATGACATACAACTTCTTTTTTTTTTTTGTTTTTACCTCGAAGCCTCTTCATTTATTCCTAATGAGTAAACACACATATATGGAAGAGAAAATGGATAGCTTAAGGCTGATGAAGCGCGGCAGAATGCCCGCCTACTGTGCAATTTACGTCATCGATATAGGTATACAATTGAGTAACTCTTCTTAAAAAACAAATTTCAGACAAATTTTTATATTCTATGAAAGTCAAGTGTTCGAATATTCTTGTTATTCATTGATATTGAAAACAAAAACAAGCAAGAAAAGAATAACAATACTCATCCTCATTATAAAACAAGTCAATCGAAGAATGAATATTTAACTTTCTTCTATACCTATCTTTTCTGTTTAGACAGATGGTCTCTTTAACCTTTTCAATTTTAATTAAGAACAAAATATCATCGCTCATTAGCTGCAGGCACAGAATAACGATCGAGATCTTTAATGTTTTTCTTTGTTTTATATTATTTTCCTTATCTGTCTTTACCTTCACACCTTTTTCTTTTTGTTTCAAATCGTCGATCTCTTCTGATATAGGTGATAATTGCTTGTCTCCAATATCCCTTGTCAACTGATATGACATAGGAATTGAAAATAAAAAAAAATCGTTATATCTATCGTTTGATAAGACGACACGTGCCAATAGAAAAAAAAAGAAAAGTTTTTCGATTCGATATTATTTAGTGTTAATCTATTGAAAATATGATTTTTATATAAAAGTATTAGTAGTGTACTTGAAAATAAAATAAAATAAAAGTATCAAGTGGTATCCTGTCGATATTTTCGTCACGGGGTGATCATTGATCGATCATCAACAATAAATGAATAGAGAAGAGGGGGGACAAACGATTGACACTATATGTCAAGTATGACGAGAGTCCATGAATCATGAATCTCTCGACATGCTTCGATGAATAATTATATAGAATTCAAGGTGTAAAACCGAAGGAATTCAACATACGTAATCGTTTCTTATTTAAATTGTTATGATTGACATATCAATATATCAATATAGTTTGATTATCCATAAATAAGATTATCAGTTTAATTAAGCGAAACGTTTTTTTGGTCTTTTCCCTTCTTTTTTTAAAGTTATATAACGATCAATTCGAAAA